GATCCTGCACATCAACACCAGCATTAGAAAAGGTAAGTTGAAGACCTAATTCACAAAGTTGACCAACTGAAAAGAGATTTAAGGATAACTTGGGAACAAAATAAGTGTTGTCAACAGTTAAGGTAGGGGAGGAAATAGACCCAATTTGACTAACAGATAAATGAGAACCATCAGCAGTATATATGATAGGATTGGGTGACAAAGTAGATTTTTGTGAAAAAATGGTGGAATCAGAGGTCATGTGATTACAACATGCAGAATAAAAAAACCAAGGAGATGTACTTGAGGTGATAGACAAAGCACTAGAAGACCGAGATAAAACCTGATGAATTAATGCCTCAATGTCAGTAGCAGTGAGAGTAGTGGACACTGAAGAAGGCTCAGCAGCAGACTCAAGAGCAGAAGAAGCAGTTGGAGCCATGGTAGCAACTTGCAACAAGGGGGCCCGAGACTGATTTTTGTTCTTCAATTTTCGACATTCCGTAACAGAGTGACCTAGACGTTTGCAGTATTTGTAGAAGACAGTCTTTGAGGACTGAAAAGGGAAACGGCCCGAGGCTGGAGAATATCTAAAGGTAGTTTGAGGGATGGCAGCAACAACTGAATCTGGAGTTTGCATCTTCATGGTTGAATGACGATTTTCTTCGGAAATAAGTTCAGCAACTGCAATCTTAAGAGTGGGAAGAGGTGTGCGATGCAAAAGAGAGGTTCAAGTAGATTCAAAATCCTCACGAAGTGCCATTATAAAATGCATAAACTTTTGACGATCACGGTAGGTTGCAAACAACGCAATGTCATCAGAACATTTGAGGTGAGGATTTGCAGCAGACAACTGTTCCCAAAGATTATCAACTTGAGAATAGAAATCAGCAATGGACTGACCTAATTCCTGACGCATCTGATAAAGCTTAGTTTCAAGCTAGGACTGCAACGAAGCATCATGAGTGCAGTTGTATCGTTTAGCAAGAAAATCCTAAGCAGCTTGAGCATTACCAAGCTTGGGAAGCAGGCTACGGATGGATGGAACAGAAATATTGATAAACCAAGACAATATTTTATATGAATACTATGCCAATCTTCACGCCGACATGCAAACTTATCAAGACTCTCACCATCTTGTTGCTTGGGGGCAAGAATATCACAAGAAACATAACGCCACAATTTTCGTCCTCTAAGAAATACTTTCATATTTTGAGCCCACATATTATAATTTGAGCCATCTAAAATGTTATCAATAGGATGAACAGCGGTATCAAGGTTGGGAGAGGAGTGAGACATACTTTTTTTTTTTTTGGGTCAACGGTCAATGGTCAAACGAGTCAACGGTCAATGAGTCAACAGTCAACGGGTGGACCTGGGCTGGACTTTGAACCGAATGGGTTGATTTATAGAAGAAAGAAAAATGGGCTGGAAAGGCTTACTTGGATTGGGCTTGAAGTTGGCTGTAACAGGCTTGAAATTTCTGCTAGAGATGTGTGGCGCGTGGTTAGACGTGCAGAATATTTAGGAGGCACATGTGGAAGCGTATCGGGAAAATCTTGACACAGAAACATCGATAAAATTCTCAAGACTCCGTTTATGATCAGATTTGATTAAAAAAAAAAAAAAGGGGAGCAAAAATCGGATATAAAACCACGAAAATCTCACTATCAGTGTAGAGAAAGCCAAGGTTGGTGCGGAAGGAAACATCAATGAAACGGCTTGCATGGACAGGAAGATCAGAGTAGTGGCTCTGATACCATGTTGAAATAAATAGAGTTTTTAGGAATCATATGATTGTATATTTCTGTGTGTCAAATCTATACAAAGGAGACCTCTATATACAGTGGAGAAGACCAAAGTTAACAAGGAAATACACTATATGAAAAGATTCTAACCTAGCATAATTACAGGAATAATCATATATTCTAGGGATATTATAAGATACTAATATATATACTAACAAAAGGTAATCAGAGATGAGATAACTGCTGAAGTTTCCAGGATGAAGGATGCAATTGGTATTGTTCCAGGGTTAGTAGTTATTCTTGTTGGGGATCGAAGGATTCTGCTACTTATGTACGCAACGAGAAAAAGGCTTGTGAATCTGTGGGTATTAACTCTTTTGAAGTGCGTTTACCTGAGGACTCCTCAGAAGAAGAAGTACTCAACTTCATTTCAGGCTTTAATGAAGATCTTTCAGTTCATGGCATCCTTGTGCAGTTGCCTCTACCTTCTGTATGCTTCTAAATTTAAACACTAATTTTTCTTTGTGCAGCATTATATTTATTGCCCTGGTATTTTATGAAACAGTGATGTATAATGAGTTATTTTTCCATTATTCCTTGTTGGTTGATTGAAGCTGCCCAAAAAAAAAAAATAAATAAATAAAATTAAAGGCATAGTTAACTAGTAAGAAAATCTGTTACTAACCGATAGTTCAAAGTTTGTATTTTCCATTTTTAGCTCTTTCTAATGCGTAATGTAGCTGGTACTCATTTTCACTCGTTTCTTCCAGCATATTGATGAACAGAGCATCTTAAACGCTGTGAGCATTGAGAAAGATGTGGATGGTTTCCACCCACTGAACATTGGTCGTCTTGCGATGCGAGGGAGAGAACCCATCTTTGTTCCGTGTACGCCTAAAGGTTGCATAGAGTTGTTGCGCAGATCTGGCATTGGTATCAAAGGAAAAAGAGCTGTTGTGATTGGCCGGACCCGGAGCAATATTGTTGGAATGCCTGCTGCGCTGTTGCTCCAAGTAATCAATTTTCACCTTTGTATTGAGTATTAGTCTCTACAAGCTAGTTTCTCAATTTCAATATCCTCCCTGTTTAATTTATTAATTCTCCTTTTAAACAATAACATCCATTTTTTTTTTTATTAATCTTCTTAGAGGGAAGATGCTAACGTTAGTATTGTCCATTCCAGAACTAATAACCCTGAGGACATTACAAGACAAGCAGATATTATAGTCTCAGCTGTAGGAGAACCTAATATGGTTAGGGAGAACTGGATAAAACCTGGTGCAGTTATAATTAATGTTGGAATAAACCCAGTTCAGGTGAGTAAACTTCGTCTCCTCAAACACACACACAGAGTTTGAATTTAACTCCTTTAATTTCAAAGTGATAAGGACTCAGTTAAGGTGTTATAGGTTATGTCCTGTGTTGGATAGTAGTTTCTCTGAAGCAATGAGGGCTCAGCTTGGTTGTGCCAAGTTTATGCTTGCTTTTCTGACTATAAGTATCTAGTGACAGGTTTTTTTGTGTTCATTTCTTTAAGGATGAAGAAAGTCCCTGAGGTTACCAACTGGTTGGAGACGTTTGTTATGAGGAGGCATGTAAGGTTGCTTCAGCTGTCACTCCGGTTCCCGGAGGAGTTGGTCCAATGACAATAGCAATGCTACTCTCTTATACTCTAAGCTCAGCAAAGAGGTTGCATAACTTCCAGTGAGGTTTACAATATTTCAGTGTTATCAGTCTGGTAGGAAGGTCCACCATTTAAATTAAGTTCACATCCAGGTACCTCACTTCTGTCTGTATGAGTTTCAGAGCAATTTTCTGTGGACTGACATCACCTGCTCAGAGTTAAGGTCCGAAAATAAAGTGAAAGCGACGCACCAAGGGGGAAAAAAATAGAATGAGAACAAAAAAGCACAGATTTTACAAACTCTGACTCCTAACTGCAGCCTGCAGCCTGAGATAACCTTTGTTCCTCATGCTATAGCAAGCTCCTCCTTTTTTTAAACAGCTATGAGCATATTTATAAGGTTTGATCAAGGAATAAACTTTCGGTTACATTGAACAACGTTTCTTCACAAAAGAAGTAATATATGATGTTAGCAATGTCGTGAACAAGGCAATTCAGTGTGGCAGGCAAGCGCCATCTGAATTCTGAGTCAGTGGAATATACTCACTTTGCTTGAAAGGCCTGATCCTTCTAGTTATGAAGGAAAGTAACACAGATTGAAAACCAAGTGATTGGGAACGTCTTCTATAACACCATTAATTAGTACAAAGCTAAATTTATGAATTTAGAATTTAGAACCCCAAAGGGGTTGGCCCAACGATCAAGGAGGTTTGCTTCTTTAAGTTATTGGGTTCAAACTTTGGGATTACTTATCACAATAATATTATAGTTTATCTAGTCTTTTAGGTTTGTAAGATATTCTATAGATTCTAGAGATTAGTTGATATACGTATAAGCTGGTTTCAACACATTAGATACCAACAAAAATATTATGAATTTAGGCAGCTGAATAGGGTGCACGTTGTTTTCAGTGTTGAAGGCCTCTAATAAGAATATCCTCATTGCTTGCTGAAAACCTCACTACCCGACCAGTTATATTTATGAAGACTCAGATTAAAATAGAAATCTTAAAACTTTGCTGAAGGTTACTCACGGCATCCTACCTGGATCTGGGGTCTACTTTACGTGAATAAATGAATTATTTACTAATAATCAACTTATGAACTAATATATGCCGAGTTAAATGTCATGATAAGCGCCGTGACAGCTGAGCTGTTTATTTTAATTTTTGTTTAAATATTGACTTTTTTGACCTGTAATCCATTCAAATTCTGATGATCCTTAAAAGCTTCTAAGTTCTAATACTAATTCTAATTCTTGATCACATAAATTAATGTGAGAAAGACTGCGTAACTGCTACTGAAACAGTTGAAATTTTACTCATTCATGAATGGCTGAATCTGACCCATGTTGAAAAGTCAAGTCCCACATCATTTTCAGTTATGAACAATTGGACTTTTGCTTCATTTTTTTTTCTTTTTTTTCAGTGATGGAGATATTCCCATAAACTTGTATGTATCTCGAGGATCAACTTATATATGTATCTCAATTAATCTCCGAGGTTCATTGAACACCATACAAATCTGATAAACTAGGTAAATCATAAATATAATAGATGACCAGTTGATGGTACTCGAACAAGCACAAACCAAGTTAATTTTGGCTTCCTTTAATAATGACTCCAAATAATAATAATAATAATAATAATAATACAATTGATAGTCTAAATTGGTCCTAACAAAAAAAATAACAATGATAATAAAAGAGTTCAAATTGTGACAAACTAAAAAGGATTGGCGCAAGCAACAAAAACCTGAATCCTAATGCAAATACAACATAATTGAGTTGAATTTTGTGCAAAAGATTACATACAAAACCAGAAGTATTTGAGCAGTCTAAGCTAATTTATCCTCTTTCTCAATAGTCAATTGAGGCTGTTAGATGGTTACTTTCATAGGCCAGCAATTTCCCTTCAGGGCCCTAGAGTGTTACAATATAACTTTCTCAGTTCTAAATACACACAAAACCAAGTAAGATTTACTTCTGCAATAGCAGGAATATATCTGTAATCAATCTCATGAACATCTTTGTGACAGATTTGCACTACACTGAAATTTTTTACGGTTCAATCATTCAACCTTTGCCACACCGACACCAGGTATGCTGCTTTCTGCAACAGTTTCCCTCACAAACCTGCAAATAGTCGCCACAAACCATATGAAATTGGGGATATTTGTTAGTTGGTATCTGAGATTTTTTAGTTCCTACTTCATCGAGAGAAGACTGAAACTTTTATGTCAGACATAAAACAGTACCTTGCTAATTTGTCCCGAGATGATTGCAAGATATAGATTGAGAGAATAAAAGACAGCATGAGACCTGTTTGCATGAAAGAGATAAACATGTTTCATTAATGTGTGTATATAAAGCTATCCTATCATTTGTCTTCTTTTTTATTAACTCATTAAGATTGCTAATTCAATAAGGCAAATTTTAGAACCAAAGTTTATTCATCCAACAGAAATGATAACTTCTGACAATCTTTTTACTCAGTCAATATTTCCTTTGACATACGGAATACAGTACTGACTTGCAGAGGTGTAGAGGCATCATTGTCATTAAACAGATTTCAGAAGAAAAAGTAAAGAACCAAAAGGATCCTTACTTTCCTGGCAAGGCAAAGCAACTCCACCTACTTACCCTCTATAGAAGGGCATCCGAGCACTGATAATTGGTCATTTTTTTCAAACCAGGAAGAATTATACAACAAAGATAAAACTGATGGAGTCAACTATAATTCTTACAGTACCCCAAACGTTAGGCTTCTTGGAAAAACCCTTGGTTTCAACCAAGAGATCAAGGGTTTGACCACCTATTGGGATATTATAACCCACAATTTTCCTGGCTACCGAGGTTGTAGGATCTGGAAGTGATCCCTACTTTAGAAACTGGTGAACACAAAGGAAAGGTAGAGAGATTTCTAGGTATAAAAAAGAAGGAAAAAAAAAAAAAAATTATAATTTTCAACAGTAAATAAAACACAAAGCTTATATATTAGTAAAGCGAAAAATAGGCTATATATTATACAGTCAACCATAAAATTAACTCAGCAACTTCAAAATCTAAACAAGCTGACGCCACAAACAATATGACAGGAATCAAAACACAGAGCTTTATATTAGTATTGAAGATTGTTTTGAATATTTATTGTCATATCGCATTCATTCATCAGGCACTCCCAAAACTAGACCTAGTGTTAAGATCATTATAACAAAAATCCTCCTTTAGTGTCTTACGTTAAGCATAAAATTTTACCTGATCCAAACAGAAAATAAAATCCAGAAGCCACATCTATCTCTGATTTCTCCTCCCTGTACATGATAAAGTACAGAGTGACAGACTTTTATTATGATTACTAATACGAGAGAGAGAGAGAGAGAGAGAGAGAGAGAGAGAGAGAGAGGAAGCTTCAAAGACATCAGATACACAGCAAACAATAAAAAGAACAAGTTTACACACCTCCTTTCTAAGAGAAAAGGAGAAAACACTTAGATCAAACCTATTTCTTCTATTGTTTATAACAGATATAATAGCTATAACATTTATAAACTGAAATCTGATCAAGTAACAAGCAGCAAAATGAGCAAGAAGGGCAAAAGTATAGAGGTTTTCTTCAGCTTTTACAGCAAATCAAGATTTAAAGGAGTTGGACAGAATTATGTTATTGTACCCCCATAACAAAACAAAATCAGCAATCCACCTGAAGAAATATGCCTATACTGTTGATGACTTTACAACCAATAGCTGGGATTAACAATAAGAGAAAAAAGCTCTCAACTTAATGCCCAAAGAGCGGGGCACAAGCTAATCCATAAGTGCAATTTGCAAGGAATCGACTGTAAAAAATCCAAACAATAAATCTACAATTCACACAATGGTCACCATCAAGCAGGATTTCTTAGTATACAACAGAGAATTTTTCTTTCCTCAAAATCCTACAGTCTTATTTGCAAATTAATACTACAAATGCTAACTTAAAGTCAAACAGAATAGAAGCCAATCAACCAATAAAGATATAAGTAGAAAATTTTAGATACCAATGTTGTGATACTGACCATGTGTATCTAACAAGCACATGTTTTGGCCAATGTTGAGGATCCCAAAACTGTTTTCGAATATCAGAATGAATTTCAACATCTGTTTCAAGACAATGATAAATAGAAGCTGGAATCAAAACCATCTAAAAAAGAGATAAAACTGACTCCAATAATCCTTCAAAAAGACTTCAAATACAGTTATGCAATTTAAGATTTATTGAAATGAATTGATAAGTCATGCAACATAACAAGGAGAAGTCCATAGTTTAAACAATGCTCTCATGTCCAATATAGCAAAAGAAAACCATAAAGAAAGGATAAGAATAGGATAGAAGTTTGAAATAACTACAGGCAACATCTCTCGAAAAAATTATCAAACCTACGATAGATAGAAAGCCATCTTCAAGATGGAATAACATAACTCTTGAATACACAAGAGGATGGAATACAACCTAGAACTTTTGAGAAATAATTCTGGATCTGAAAGATTGTAAAATCACCGAGACAGTTAAAGACACAAAACCAGAGGACAAATGATTCAAAGTGAGACTTGGGAGCTACCATTGGAGCTTAAGAGCTCATAACTTGAGATAGTGAGAAAAGGTAAGATGAGCTACAATGTAACTCAAAAGCTGCATATAAAGTATAGCCAAATACTCTATGTTGATGAAGTACACCTCACATAGTCAAGATATGCTTTGTGTCATGCCCCTATACTGAATAGAGAGACCTTAAGAACCATATGAAGCAAACATCTTATTACCAAAACACAAATAAGAAAGACCATAGTTGCCTCCAGCATTGTAATTTCTCTATCAATTAGTAGACTAGTGTTAAAGAAGATTAACGAGGATAATATTACATACATCTGTGAGGCATATCCACAACTTTAGCAGTGACACCATGCAGATCACTTCCTGAGTACCTCTGCATAACAAAAACACAACATATTAATCAGATTATAACTGCAACAAGTTACAGAACAACTGCACCTCCCAGAGAAAAAAGAAAATAGAAACATAAATTTTCTAAACAATTACAATTTACAAAAAAGAAAAGAAAATGATCAAAACCTGATACAAATTCAGCAATCAGAGTAATACTTGACCAACAGAAAGCTTACCAAATGCATATCAATCATTGGAACTTCAGAACTCTTACGATTTATCACAAAAAGCCATGGAATTAGAAACTTTTCTCTTCCAACTTGAAATGATCTGCAAATAATCAGGGTTTTTATAAACTTAAAATCCCTATTCAGCTTAACTATTAAATGCAACCAAATAAGTTCCACAAAAGACAATTAAAAACTCCAACTAAAATCCCAAACAACCAAATAAAATAGCACTGACTGAAAAAGCTTTAGCGGCAAATCTGTAAAAGTTTATCTTCAATAACAGAAAAAAAGAAGAAGATTACAAGTAAACAAAATAATCATAATCTAAAATTAAATTAAATAACAAAATGGTTTCTCACATTTTGTAAGGATCAGCTCCAGTGAAGCCAGTTGGCTTTACTATAGGAATCAATACCTACATAAAATCAAAACTTAGAAAATTAAGTAAAAGCAATAAAAAAATCGACTCCAAATTAAAAAAAAAAAAAATTAACATAACTTCAAAAAAAAAAAAAAAAATTAACATAACTTCAAGAATACCTCACGATTTACTGCGAAGATGGGACAATGTTTACCGATCACATCATGCCACACAGTTCTCGACTGTAATCATAAAATAAACAGATCATTAAAAACAGTAAAGAACGAAATAATTGACCTGAACTGAATCAAATTTAACGAGTTTTTCAATGTACAGACATTGTGGTACTGGCCCATTTTGCTCATTGGAACGATGTCACCAGGCCGATAAGCAAGTGAAATCGAGGTCAGTGATAGTAATAGTAGCAACCGTGACACGATAATTCGACTTCGTTTTGTTTCCATTCTTCAATTTCTCGCCTTGTCTCGTCGTGCCTTCAGGTTTTGCTTGATCTTCGAAACCCCTTCTTCATTGTGAAAATGTTAACACAGTTAGCTATTCTTCCCTTCCGTCTCTCGAAGTGACGGTGGGCCAAGTTTGGCCCAATAAGAACCCGTTGGGCCCATAGAACTAATTTTGCATTTTTATATGGCCCAAATATTTTGGTAAAGCGACGAATTAGAGGTTAAAAAAAAAGTATGTATGGGTGTGGGACCAAAGTATAAAGAGAATAATATCATAGCGTATATACTAATAATAATAATAAAGATTTTGGATATTCTTTTTAATTACTTAAGAGATTTGAATTATCATAAAGTAACATTATGGTATTTAATAAAATTATATTTCTTTGTAGTAAAAAAAAAAAAAAAAAATTATTAGGGGAACATGCATTCAAAGAGAGAAGCATGTCACATATTTGCGCCGTACGGTCGTGGCACGGTTAAAAAGTTAAAATTTGGCGTAAAAGGTTAAAAGTAAAAAAATTAAAAGATAAATATAAATAAATTAAAAGATAAGAAAGAAAAAGAAATAAACAGCGGAAAGCGAGACGAGGGATACAGATTTCCGTATTTTTGCGAAAAAAAAAAACAAAAACAGAAAAAAAAAATCGGTCCTTCTCTTTAAAATCACCCACCTTCATCGCCACCTGTTCGCAACATTTTCCCCAAAATTTTATTGTCGTTTTATTTTGATTCAGCTGTCGTTTTCTAAATTTATTTCCGTTTTCACACCCACCCGGAAGCCTGATCGCCGAAGATTAAATATTGTTTCAGATCAGGAGCATCTTTTTAATACCTGATTGGCCAGAAATCGGACACGTGAATGGTTGTACGTTTAATCCGTGTCCCCACGGGTATCGAATCCGTCGTTGGGACGACGTGCTGATTGCGAGGGAACATTTTAGTTTTTCCGGTGTTTTTACTAAGTCGTTGATGGGTGATCTCAGAGATTGGTCGCCTGAACTAAGCGGCGCCGTGTTAGAAGAGAGACCGTTATCGTCTCCGTCGTCAGTTTCGTTAAATCAAACGGAAATTGGTGCCGAGTACTGGCAGAAAGCTGAGGAAGCAACGCAGGGTATCATTGCCAAGGTTCAGCCCACTGTTGTCTCCGAAGAAAGAAGAAAATCGGTTATTGATTACGTGCAAAGATTAATTCGAAACTATCTTGGTTGTGCGGTAAGAAGAAAATAATTATTATGATTTTAAGGTTTTTTTTTTACTTTTTTCTTTTTTTATAATTCTAATTATGAAGCACTGCTAGTGAGCTCTGCATTTGAATAGTTTAAGAAATCTCATTGTTGTTTCAGGTATATTATTCTCAATATTACTATTTTTGTTTATGCAAATGCTAATTTTTTCGTTACTTTTATATGTTGAGTTAAACTACAGTTTTGGAACTCATTGTCTGGATTGGATGTTAAAACTCTCTTATTTAGTTTGAGTTGAAGAAATCTAATTTTACAGTAGTCTGTGTGAGTAGATTTTGGTTTACTTTATCGGATTTTTAATCTGTTTGAAGAAAGAGTAGTAATTATAAGTTCTATTGTAATTATATTTTTAATAATTTTGATAATGAGTTGTATTTTATGCACTATTGCCTATCCGGGGATGTTGTTTTCTTCTCTTTTTGGGAGTTAGGAGAAATAGTTAGGTTACGATGCCATTGGTCGTTAGCTTTAAGTTATTAATGCTCGTGGATTTTTTGCTTGGCGTGCTTGGAAATAAAATCATCTATTCTAATGAAAAACCCTAATACTTATTACCATGATTGTCTACGTGGATTCCCAATTCGTAGGCACAATGAGCTGTGCGTTTTTCTTTTGTCTGTTGGTTGTTTGCAATATGTGATTATTTAGATTTTTATTTTTCTAATTGTATGCAATGATGAACTGTAAAATGTTGTATTTGAATGTTGATGTCCCTGAAATGTGGCGAGTTTGGATAAATCTGGATTATTTGCTGATGCAAATTCATCATAGGTATTTCCATTTGGTTCGGTGCCATTGAAGACTTATCTCCCTGATGGAGATATTGATCTGACTGCCTTTGGTGGTCTAAATGTGGAGGAGGCTTTGGCCAATGATGTGTGTTCTGTCCTTGAAAGAGAAGATCAAAACAGGGCTGCAGAGTTTGTAGTGAAGGACACCCAACTAATCCGTGCTGAGGTTTTTAACTTGAATCTTAATCTTATATTTATTGAATTTTATACTCAACTCATATATGTTATTTTTCAAGATATCGACCATCAGTGAATGTTAGTTTATTGTTGATACTATATTTATATTTTAGTTCAAGTTGCAACCGATCTCGCTTTATAATTTTGCGATATTTAGTTAGTATTTAATAGTATTTAAAAAACCTTTGTTTCTCCTTTAGTTGGTTTACTTTTCTGTCTGTTTTCTAAACATGGAAACAGTATGCGCCTTCTTTTGGAAATATCTTATGTCCTTTACAGATTGTTGGTTTAGGGACTACGTTTTTGCTGAAAATTACTTGATAAACTTTTGGCAATATGCGGCAATTTGGAGTCTTTAACTACTTTTTTTCCCCTGGATTCCTTCTTATCTGTATTTTTATCATTTTGTTTGCTTGTGAAGGCCAAAGAACATAATAGTATATTCATCTTTTTGAGCTGTTCTGTCCCCTTTCTTAAATTATCGATTAAATTCTTTACAAATGACATCTGGAATATTCCCAATATAAGTATTTTTGTATTTAGGGTGACATGTTTCTGCCCTTTAGAAAAGTGACTATTTGTGAAGGATTTACTTGGTGAAAACTTTTGCTATGGTAAGCTACCGTACTTTGCCTAGCACATTATTGTGGTGATGAGAAGAATAAATGTGCTCATAAGGATTTTGGAAAAGCGATAGTATAAGAGTTTTAAGATTAAATAAAAGGAAATATGGAATTATTAAGAAGAATTTTTTTTGTATTAATTAAATTTTTTATTTTATTTTTAGGCTTTGCTTTGCAATACCTTAATAAAAGAGTCAATCTTAATTGTCTCCCGATACATGCCTTGATATATGCGGTGCCCTTTCCCATTGACAACTTTGAAAAGACAGTAGCTTTTCTGTCTTAACAAATGTTGTGAGTTACAGTTTTTCAGCATTATTAGTTTCTCTGGCAAAGCTTTTAACGAGACAGTGGTTTTTCAACTCCTTGAAATATAATGTTTAGATTATATGTAAAATTATGTATTCAGGTTTCGTATTTCATTAACTCATGTCGCCGTAATTCTTTTTTCTTTTTTTGTTCTCTTCTTAAGCAACTACTAAAAGTGGTTCCACATGATTTAATCCATTTCTTAATTTAACGTCTTTTAGTTAATTGTCCTCGTGTTTTACTTTCTGATTCAGCCAATCAATCTACTTTTAATAGCACTCAACAATCTGAGATTAAATGTGAATTTCGCATGTACACCTATTTGTATGTTATGTGGTATGTTCTTTTAGGATGAAATTACAGTACATGTATGATTTTGATATAGTGTGGATTTCGCGTATTATTTATGGGATGGAAGTCCCTTTAGTTATATATTATTAGGTTTGGCTTCTTAAATATTGGGTTTTTTGGTGGCAGGTTAAACTTGTAAAATGTCTGGTGCAGAACATTGTGGTAGATATCTCCTTCAATCAATTAGGAGGATTGTGTACACTATGCTTTCTTGAGCAGGTAGCTTCTTTGTAATTGTTCTTAAATGGGAAAAAGTAGTGTTTTCATTATTTAATGGAAAATTTTACCTTATGTTTTCTGTTAATGGGTGTTTCTAGTGTAAGTTCCTCTATGTTATTCTTCACCTTTCTATGTGTCTTGTTCAATAATTATGTAACTATGAATGTTTGAGCTTAATGGGCGAGTTTGGAAAGGGATGTGTATTGATCAGGATCATAATGCTTGTTCGTTGTAGATGGAGCATGATGTACAGTGGACTATACTTGTGTTTTTGTAATTGACATTCTGCTTATTTTGCAGGTTGATCGTCTCATTGGAAAAGACCATCTCTTTAAGCGCAGTATTATACTAATCAAAGCTTGGTGCTATTATGAGAGTCGAATTCTTGGTGCTCATCATGGCTTGATTTCTACATATGCCTTGGAGACGTTGGTTTTGTATATTTTCCATCTATTCCACACATCATTAAATGGTCCTTTAGCGGTGAGTCCTTGCAAGAATATGCATTTGTATGCTTCAAATATTTTTCAGTAATTTACTCTTTGAGTATTTAATGGTTTCTAGGTTCTATACAAATTTTTGGACTACTTCAGCAAATTTGACTGGGACAACTACTGCATCAGTTTGAATGGGCCTGTCCGCGTTTCCTCCCTGCCAGAAGTTGTAGGTGAGCAACCACTTTTTGAGTTTTGGTGCTGCATTTCCTTGATTTATGTCACTTGATTAATAATCTTATTAATTTGGTCCTTTTTCCAGTTGAGACACCTGAAAATGGTGGACAGGATCTATTGCTCTCTACCGAGTTTTTAAAGGACTGTGTAGAACAGTTCTCAGCTCCTTCAAGGGGCTTTGAAACAAATTCACGAACATTCCCTCCAAAGCATCTCAACATAGTTGATCCGCTAAAAGAGAATAATAACCTTGGCCGCAGTGTGAGTAAAGGTAGAAACTGTTTTCATTAGTCAGTAGGGGAGGCCTAGAGTCTCTTCATTTTTATCCAATATTAAAGGACTCATGGTTATTATTGGTCCATTGTGGTTCAGTGTGCATTAGACATGATTTTTTAAATCTTTATCTTGCTTCTTTTGTGGACAAGTTGACATTAACAGTATCATTTTCTCTGTTGAAATTTTTCTGATGTAAATAATTATATATTCTGGTATATATAATGTCAAAATGAAGAATGAATATGCTAAACAGAATTCAATACTTACATATGTTGCTTTAATAGAGAATAGATTTTGTGAAAATAGCATATTGTTAATAAAGGAATTCCTTTTCTTGGGAAATAGCATATTGAATCTTGGATAATATGAGAGATAATTTGATACAAATGGTATGTGACTTATTGCTATAAATTTGATAAAACTGATTGTTACCTAGTAATGTTGATGAGTAGCTAATGATAACGTGAATTGAGAATAGAAATAAAGAAAAGTCAATTAACCTGCCTTTAACCATGCAGGGAACTTTTATCGTATAAGGAGTGCATTTACATATGGGGCTAGAAAACTTGGGCGCATCCTTTCACAGCCAGAGGAAAGCTTAGCTGATGAACTCCAAAAGTTTTTCTCAAACACTTTGGATAGACATGGAAGTGGACAGAGACCTGATGTTCAAGACCCTGCCCCATTAAATAGACACAATGGGTTTGGTGCCACATCAACATTTTCAGGCACAGAGTCATGTGAAGACCAGACTACCTATGAATCAGAATCCACCAATCCAAGTGGCATAACAGAGAATTGTAGGTTAGATCATGAAGCACAGTTGTGTGGTGGTGTCAGCAACATTAAGATATCTGAGACTGAACCGAGTGACGGCAGAACCATGAATGAACTGCATGGTTCTGTGGATGGAACAGCTGTTTCAGAAAACCGTCTTTCAGGGGATGCAAAAGACCTAGCTACCTCCAGAATTCAAGATCTTAAAATTTCAAATGGTGCCTCCAAATCTTCCTCTCCAACTGTTGAAGAGAATCCTTACCTTGTGGGTAAAGCACATCATGCACCACATCTATATTTCACTTCTTCACCTACGGGAAATGGAGAAGTGAGAAATGGGAATGTAGAGTGGAAACAGCCAGCAAATTTTGGTTCTGCTGAGAAGAACACGTCTTCTGGGATTCTGCCAGCACTTTGCAAGGAAACCAGCTTAATTGTACCTGACTATCAAGATGAGGGTGCTATTCATGATGTTCTATCCCCTGCTGGATCAAAGCACCATCCTTTAATAATGAGTACCGTTGCTTGGTCCTCAGAAGATTTTAATTATGGTTACAGTGGTTATCAGGCATCACCTAAGACTTCTGGAAGTCCCAAAGCTTTGAATTTTTTATCTGATCTCAGTGGGGATTATGATATTCATCTTACTAGTTTGCACCATGGCTGGTCGTGGTATGAGCATACCTTGAATGCATCCTATTCTCCTATGTCTTCACAGTTGCTTTCTCAGTTCCAGAACAAAAATTCATGGGATGTAATACAGTCACTGCCGTTCAGGAGAAATGTTATCCCCCATGCCAATGGCGTTATGCCAAGACCAATTTTTTATCCCATTAATCCACAGATACTGCCTGGTGCAAGCTTTGGTATAGAAGAGATGCCAAAGCCTCGAGGAACAGGGACCTATTTTCCCAATGCGGTATACTTATTCTAAGCCTTTTGATATCTTGGGCATTATTTTTATGTTAAATATGTTATGTGGGGCCAGCTGAGCCAATCTTGGTCTCAGATTATAGTGTCTGTTTTTTGTTAAATTGTTCAAGTGGCAGCCCTTGTTATCTCAAAGTGGTTTTATGCTTAAAATTTGCAGAGCCATTATAGGGATAGGCCGTTGACTTTGAGGGGAAGGAATCAAGCACCACTTAGGTCTCCTCGTAGCAATGGTCGTGTCATGATACCCCATGAATCAAATTTTCCTGAGAGAAGCAGCCGTGAGTTGGCACCAGTACAGTTTAATGTTCATCAAGGTGGAGGAAAAAGTGGACTTTCAGATATCTGCCACTCAAGTTCCCCTGAGAAAAAGGCACAACCTAATTCCAATGGCTCTAGTCATCCGTCAGAGAGGACTGTGGAATTTGGGTCAGTTGGAGGACATCTTTCTGTTGGGGTGACTCCTTTTGAGAGCAGTAGACAACCAAATGTGGCTTCTGCCCATGGTCAAAACTCAAATGTAAGTCTCTCATCACCAAAGATGCAAAAGTCCAGACCTGTAATGGGCAATGATCAAGATAGGTATGAGAATCTCATGTGAATTTTTAACTTATCAGCAGTGCTAAAAACATGAATTCTGTTTAAGCTGTCTCTTTGTTTTGGACGTGTAGGATTGTTGTACAATCATACCGTTTGAAAGATGAAGATTTTCCCCCTTTATCTATCTGATGGCAGTGGGAAGGAATATGGTTAAGTTAATAGGTGAGTAAATGCTAACAGACCAGCCGGTGCCCAAGCTTTCTATGGGTTCCTATGGCCATTCGAAAGTGCTAAATATGGAGTTGATTATTTTGTGTATGGTTCGAAGGCTTTTTGTACATTCTACTAATTATTTTTAACTCCTTAAAATCTTGATAGCTGTGCATTGGTTTGAGTTGTTCATGTACAGGATAATACTTGAATGATGGTTTTAACCAGGCTTTTTTTTTTTTTTTAATATCATGTCAGCCATCTTAGGTCAAAATTATAGACACAGATATTATCGTTGCTGATGTCTGATGCAACCGATACTATACTAGAAATAATGTTTTTTGGCAGTTGTAATAGTGTAACATTTTTGGCTATTCTGTTTGATGCTCACAATGCATTTCTAGAAATTAGATACTGTTCCACCTTCCCTCTTTCTCTTGTGCTGTCAATATATTGTCATCCTGAAAGTATGCCCGCAAATAGTTCAATTCTATTTGCTATGTTTTGTTAGAGAAATTGCAACCAAAAAGCATCATAGCCACCACCCCCCCACCAAGAATCTGTAGTTGGGTATTCCATTATGGGGTTTTGGTTGTAATAAAGGTTTTGAAACACGACGTGGGGTGTCACCCGGCTAAGGGCCAGGTGCCAGGTTGACCAGTCTGAGTTTTCGGTGGTCCAAAAAATTTGAAATTTTGCAAACACATCCCTGAAAAATACGAATCAATCCCTTCAGGTTTGAAATCTAGCAATCATACCCTTGCATAGTTAGGGTTTTGATTTTTTCGACCAAATTCTGGCAGCCAAAATTTAATCTGATACCACCACTTGTACCATTGGCCTCCACTCTACAAAACTCTTCTATCTTGGCAATTGGTAGTCTCTCGTTCATCAGTCGTGACTTGCGTATATCGTTGTGATTTGATTTATTTTTTTAGTCAAATTCTAGTTGATTTTGACGTCCAAAATTCAATCTGACGATTGACATCACCCCTTGAACCATTGACTTTTACTCTACAAAACCCCTATAATCTTCATATTTGGTAGCCTTTCGTTTGTCGACAATCAAATTAGGGATTTCGAGAATAGTTGAAAGTAGTAACTCGGTTAGGAGAAGGCCCCTGGTCTTGGTCTAACCGGTTAAACCGGCCAGGCTGGGTCAGGCCAAGTTTCAAGACCTTGGTTATACGTTACAAGTTTACAAATTTCATGTTGATATATGTTATATGGACTATAGTAAAAGTAAAACCCTTTATTATAGTCATGTTGCTACTGGTATAAATGCTTCAATCTTCACTCTGGGTTATTGGGTATTAAATTATTGACTAATTGGTGACATTAGCAGCAATTTTCACTGGCCTCTTTCTCATAATTATTTAGTAAAACAAAACAAAACAAAAATACCCATTGATTCAACTAGAATCATAACACATGTAAAAAAAGAAACTGCCCATCTGTGCTATATGTTTATGGTCATGGAATATAAAATTAGCTTTTATCATTTGCAATTTCAAATTCAATTTTCTGCAATGAATCTTGAATGAGCATCATTTTGCCGTATTATGCAAGGACGGCAGATGCAGTATTCGTGGTGCTTAACAAAACTTGCTTGTCAACTCTTTTAATTTTTATTTATAATTTCCAGGTTGTGACAAAATAATGAACCATTTATTTATTTTATATATCAACGTCAATTTGAGGCGTCAACTATAGAGTATAGACAAAGAAGATAAGAATAAAATAGGACAGTAGGATTCTTTATAAAAGAAGTTAAGTAAAATAACAAACACTACACTCAGACGTATTTATTTATAATTAATTAGTTCATAATAAATCTTGTCTGTTTAAAGATAGATCTCGTTATTCAACAATAGATCTCATTTACCCAAATACTAATTATTATATTAATCAACGTATCTTTTATCCTAAATGAAAATAATAATTTTTCAAGTAGTCAAAAGGTGAAAACTCTTCTTATATTAAAACTAAGGGAGTTACTATTCTTACAAAGAAGCCTACAAAGGAGGCATATAAAGTTAATCTCTACCCTTCATCTTCATCATTTCTCTCTCTCTCTCTTTCTCTTTTTTCGTTTTTCTTTTGTTTTTTCTTTCACTTTGTAAACTACTTTGTAAACTTCTTTGTAAGGATAGATTTATCCTGAAACTAATACCACCACAAAAATACAAAATAATTACTGTTTATGATGTACTGTAGGATGTACTAATTGCAAATTTATAAATAAAATCAGTGGCCTTAAGAGGAACAATAAATTAAAATTAAAATATGATTATCCTCGTGTGTGACGTGTCACTTGAATTGACAGGTGGCACTGGGATCCAACCAAAAACCATTGACATTAACAACAGTTGTGTATATCAAATACTTTGCATCTGCCTCATTCATTGGGGCCACTATCTTTGTCAACATTTATAATAATTAGAGTAAACGATATATTCCCATTCCTTTAGCAAAATCTCAACTTGATATCTCTAGTTATATTTATTTCAATTTTCACCCTTAATCTAACATTATTAGTGATTATTAGAGATGATCAGAAACAGTGAGTGAGATTAGCAAGTGAAGATATGAGTTTTATAAAGAAAGCTGTGAAGAGTCTAATAGTAGTCTCGAAAGTGATTTTGAATTTCAAAATCGATCGAAAAAAGCTAAAAAATATCGTCTTTGACACTACTAACGTGAGCTACTTTTTGCTAACATGAGCCTATCTTTTGTCAAAGAAAGCGTCGGTGCACTTTAGTTGCTAATGTACGCTGTGGTATAGTGAAGAGTTGAGAGTTTATTAAAATAAAGAAAATGCGTTACTTTAAGGGTAGGACTGTAAAATAAATACAACTAGTGATATTAACTTGAGATTTTTCTAAACCTTGGGTGGGAATATTCGTTTTCTCTAATAATTAACTTAATTGTTCATCGACAGAACTTCCATTCTTATCATCAATTTGCTCTTGTTTTTATTATAACGAAGCTTAGTTTAGCCATCAACATAAGCAACCTTTCTTGAATATTTGTTCAGTAACTTGGTAAATCCAAGTAAATTAATGAACAAACCCTATTTTGGTGTCAAAATCTCACATTGGTTAGGAGACGAGAGTCTTAAATGTTTATATAAAATAATGATACCCTCACCAACCAGAGACATCTTTTCAGGACAAAATCGTACGGGCCCAAGACTCAAAACGAACAATACCTTGGAGAACCTACTTATTATGTGTCGAGGGCCTTTATAGGACAAAATCATGCGTTTTTCAAGACCAAACCATGCGGGTCCAAAATAGATAATACCTAAAGTCTTAAACCATGCAAGTTTCCAGACAAAACCGTGCGTATCCAAAGTAGATAATACCTATAGAAACTCACCTACCATGTATCTGAATCCAGCATGTATTAACACCCTACATTATTAATCTTATATTTATTAACCTATATTCAATAATCACTAAAAAAAAAAAGAGTTAGACAATTTCAAAATGAATTCATTGTCAGAGTATTTATAAATTTGATTATTCATCGAGATGAATGAATTAACTATGAATCGAATTGAAGTCTCCTGGTGCCTGATGCTCACCAAAGCTAGCCACGTACAGTGATACATGTTCATCAGATACACCCTTCCCAATATACCAACTCTTTTTCATATTAAATAAATTTAATCTAATGTAATTATTTCATTTTGGACTGCGTCAAATTGCGTCACCTTAATTTTGTAATCTGGGGCCGCATATATATATATATATATATTTTTATTTTTTTTTTCTAAATTTATTACTGTATAATAACAACCACCACGTCTTCTTTTTCATATTTTTTCTACTGCTTTATTGTCTGTTCCTCTTAATCTCTCCAAGCTTCTGAAAAGCTATCTCAACCCTTTTGGTTTTCTCGTTAGATTCTCAATCTAAAATCTTGCTGTAGTTCTTGAATTGTTGTAGCTCTGACATCCACAAATGGTGCTGTCGAAGCGTAGCCATAGATTCTTCAAGTTTCGCAGCAACCCAGTTGAATATTTCATGCCAAAGTCTCAAAGATTATTATGATCTTTTTATATCTCAAAAATTAATTCTCTACCACAAACAAGATTATATTCTCCTTGATTTCTCTTCGTCTTCTCCAGTAGTCCCACTTTCGATAGTATCACTTGCTTTCAAAAAGTTGTTCATTAATTTAACAGACAAAACCCAAAGATTCTCTCTCTCTTTCTCTATCACACCCACCGACCCCTTCTTCACAGTTTTTATTCTGTTGGCTCTGTACAATCTTTGATATTTCAATTCGTATTTTGGTCTTTTTAACACAGATGATTACCAAAGACTACGAGTATTGTTCACGTGCAGTTGTGGAGATGGCTTGGATTATGCTGTGTGTCGATTATTCAAGGCTGTTTTGGTTATTATTCGGAGTCTTTTCTTATGAAAACCATGAAGGAAAGCCTCGGATCATCGAGCACCAGCTAGTATAATTCTCTTCTCTCGCATCCCATAGAATAAAACTCACAGCTTTCTTCATATTTACTGTTGAAATTAAATAATATTAGGAACAGTTACATACATCTATATACACAATAAATAAGCTCTGAAAATTTGCGGTTGAGGGTCTTTGATTTCTCAGTCATGTACAAGAGTTCGCGTTCAGGAGGAGGTTGCATTAATGGAGCCAAGACTCAGCTTCCATACGTTGAAACCGATCCATCCGGTCGGTATGGTCGTGTAAGTTTCTTTTTCTATTCTTTTTTTTATATAAATCTGATTATCTGATCATCTATATATGTTGGATTAATCATTTATGGTTCTTCATAGCATCCAGTACAAACTTTATTATTGCATGCATGTTGCTCACTGATTCTAGTTCTAGCTCCTAGTAATTTTATTTAGCTGTGGGGAAAAGAAAAATCATAAATTATGCCCCATGTTTCCTTGAATATGTTCTTTACTTTATAAAAAGTTGGTATATTAAATTGAGAATAATAAGGGATGGCGCCGGCTGACTGTTCTTGAAGGCACTTTCTTCGTATTTTCCACACTATTTTTACTTCTCGAATAATGCAACCTTTTTTCATATTAATGAATGAACTTAAGAAAACATTAATCAAGTAATGTTCATGTAGAATTAATGTTCAATCTAAATGGCTTATACATAAACTGAGTTTGACTTTTAAATTGCTATTAATTGACACTTAATTAATCGTTTTAACCTGATGACCTACATGCATACTTAAGATTTATGTCAATGGCAATTGAATGATTATAAACCAGTTGAAGGACTAAATTAATTTACAGGTTAGATATGTAATGAGGGTGTTCTGGACCTTCTGGTTGATTAATTTCTTCTTTACAGTTCAGGGAAATTCTTGGCAAAGGAGCCGTGAAGACAGTGTACAAAGCATTTGATGAAGTGTTGGGAATGGAAGTAGCCTGGAATCAAGTGAAACTCAATGATGTATTCCGTTCACCAGAGGAATTGCAGCGGCTCTACTGTGAGGTTCACCTTCTTAAGAACCTCAATCATGACTCAATCATTCGGTTCTACACTTCTTGGATCGATGTCGATCGAAGAACCTTCAATTTCATCACTGAGATGTTAACTTCCGGCACCCTCAGAGAGTAACTACTCCACCTTAAAATAATTACATAACATGAAACTTAATTGCAATTATCACGATAAGATTTAACTGAGCGTCTGAGCCTGATATAATTAACACAGGTACAGAAACAAGTACCACCGAGTAGACATTCGAGCAGTAAAAAATTGGGCTCGTCAAGTTCTTGGTGCTCTTGCTTATCTACACGGCCATGACCCTCCAGTGATACATAGAGACCTCAAGTGCGATAACATCTTTGTCAATGGCCATCTGGGGCAAGTTAAAATCGGTGATCTTGGATTAGCTGCAATTCTCCGTGGTTCTCAACACGCCCACAGTGTTATAGGTACACCGGAATTCATGGCACCAGAATTGTACGAAGAGGATTATAACGAGCTGGTAGATATTTACTCCTTTGGCATGTGTGTACTAGAGATGCTTACAACTGAGTATCCATATAGCGAGTGCTCCAAACCAGCACAAATTTACAAGAAAGTGACTTCGGTAATAAATCTTACTGTTACAACATCATTATTATTATGGAAATCTGACGGTGACACCATTAATTAATTGATCAATTAATCACCAGGGAAAGTTGCCAGAAGCATTCTACAGAATTGAAGATGCAGAGGCCCGACGTTTTGTGGGGAAATGTTTGGAGAATGTTTCCACGAGGTTGCCCGCTAAAGAGCTCTTGCTTGACCCATTTCTAGCGTCTGATGAAGGGGAAATCCCGAAAGTCCCTTGTCAAAAGTCAACTGATGGAGCAGTAGTCGTGGAGCCATTGTCATCTTTTATGGCTCCAGATTCAACAAAGACTACAAATATGACCATCACTGGCACCATGAATCCTGAAGATGACACCATTTTTCTCAAAGTAAAGATTTCAGACAAAGATGGTACTACCTTAATGCATCTCAATCTTAAAATTTGGACTTCAATTGCGAATTGCAAGTTAACAAAAGTAGGCTAATTTCAATCTTACAGGTCATAGCAGGAACATATACTTTCCCTTTGATATTTTCAATGACACAGCGACTGATGTTGCCTTGGAGATGGTTAAGGAATTGGAGATAACTGATTGGGAACCACTTGAAATTGCTGAAATGATCGAGGAAGAGATATCTTCTCTGGTCCCAAATTGGAAGGAGTATTGTGGCTCACCTAACTTCCATCATCAGCATAGCTTCATCTATGAAGATGATGATGATGATGATGATGCAGTAATCCATGGCCACCATCCTTTCTACTCCAAATCTTCTTATTCCTCCTCCCACGCTTCTCTCCCAGATTTCACACCTTCTGCCCATAACTGGCTTCAACAATGTGAAGACTTGTTGAATAACGATGATGCAAGTTCCAATGGCTCCGTTAACTCCTTAAAGTACTCGAACTTAGATTACCACTCGGGCAACGAAGAAGATTTTGATTTAAGTCATAGAGGAGGAGAGCCTCAGTGCTTTGCAAGGACAAACAAAACTACAAGATTTTGCCCCACTACAAGACATAAACAGTGCAATGAAAAGATAAATTCATGGAGAGCTTGTGGCTCCAATATTCCTCAAACGAAGATGTCCAGGATTCGTTCAATGGTGGATGTCCGCAGCCAACTTTTGCACCGCTCACTAGTGGAGGAGATCAACAAGAGGCGCTTGTTTAAGACTGTTGGGGCCATTGAGAACATTGGATATCATGAGCCTGCAAATAGTAGCAGTAGTGGAGATGGGTTGTACGGGAGATGTTCGTCCAGGACAAGATGAATGATGATCACGACGAAAACTAAAGCAGAGATTTGAGAGTGGGGTTAAAGTTAATTATTCCCCTAATCTCTTAGTTACTTTGTCGTTGCTTTCTGGTGTGTTTAATTAAGCAATGTATTATCATTATGTAAACTTTGTATAAGTAAGTATGAACCTTTTGCGAGACTTCAATATGGAGAGACCTGTCTCCTATTGTGAAAAGTTTGTCAAATAATAATAAAGTTGTGTGAGGTTGAAGTAATTTGTTCCTTCTTCNATGTCCAGGATTCGTTCAATGGTGGATGTCCGCAGCCAACTTTTGCACCGCTCACTAGTGGAGGAGATCAACAAGAGGCGCTTGTTTAAGACTGTTGGGGCCATTGAGAACATTGGATATCATGAGCCTGCAAATAGTAGCAGTACTGGAGATGGGTTGTACGGGAGATGTTCGTCCAGGACAAGATGAATGATGATCACGACGAAAACTAAAGCAGAGATTTGAGAGTGGGGTTAAAGTTAATTATTCCCCTAATCTCTTAGTTACTTTGTCGTTGCTTTCTGGTGTGTTTAATTAAGCAATGTATTATGTAAACTTTGTATAAGTAAGTATGAACCTTTTGCGAGACTTAAATATGGAGAGACCTGTCTCCTATTGTGAAAAGTTTGTCAAATAATAATAAAGTTGTGTGAGGTTGAAGTAATTTGTTCCTTCTTCCCTTATCTTTAATTTTGAAGCAAGTTCATAAACAACGAAAAAAATAACCACTCCTGGATAGTCGGGTGAGGTGATAAAGACTCTTAAATGTATTATTCAAGAGGTTTTGAATTCGATTCCTCTCGTTGGTTAATAAGGATGACTATTAGAGAATTTATTCGATCGTTAACTTTAAAATCCCAGAGGATTAGTGGAGATGCTCGCAAACCTTAATAGAACGAGCATACACAGAACACAGTTTACTTAAATAGTCTTGTTACATCAACAATGTGAAAAAAGTAAGCCGTTCCATGCAAGGCAAACATGAAATTTCATTGCAAAATTGTTAGTTAATGTCTGGGATTTGGAGGGGGTGAATTGACATTTTTTGAAAGAAAAAAAACTCGGGGAGGTCAATCATATTTTTCAAATGTTTGGGCTCTTAAAATTACTAGGTCAAAGCTCAGCGTCCTTCAAAAACAACCCAAATACTGGAAAATTCATCAATCCATAATCGACCGGTGAAAATGCTCATCTTTAACATAGCGTAGCAATTTCATCACTTCTAGGTTTACAAGCATATCAAATCATGTGGAGAAACGGCGTCGTGCGACGACTGCTGTCTCATTCCCAATCTCAGAACCAAAATTCATCGACTAAATTAGGGTTTCTAGTCAACAGAAAACCCGATGGCGTTCCTTGTCGTGCCTCCTCCTCATCGGCCGCAGCCACAGCCACAGCCACAGCTACAGATACCGCTACAGCTGCAGCCGCTGATCTCTCGTCCCTGGTTCGCCACTACGGTCGTTGCTATTCGGAACTCGCTAAAGCTCGCCTCAGGTTTTTTTTCTCTGAAATCTTATAAAAACATTTTAATTAATTAATTAATCAATTACTATTTCGTTTTTTTTATTGATTGGTGTTACTGTGATTGTATATATAGCCTGTTAGTTGTTGCAACATCAGGAACTGGATTTGTGCTAGGAAGTGGATCCGCTATTGACATAGTTGGACTTTGTTGGACTTGTACTGGAACTATGATGGTTGCTGCTTCAGCTAATTCTTTAAATCAGGTTTCTATAAATTCACTTCACTTTTCCAATTAAAATTAATCAATGATTTCTTCAGTTCAATACCTCTTAAGCTTGAGTGAGACTAAGTATACCCGTTATAACATGTATAGATTTATGTTTAATTGAAGTAAAAATACTATGAATCGAAGAATTCAGTTGAAAATTGATTAGAAGAAAATCATTTCTAAAATTTTAGCAATGTGTGCATTTAGTGATATGGGTATGTGGAGTACTATAGTATTATTTTTGTGTGTGTGCAAATAATCCCAGCCTATAAGTTTTTGAATACGAACTGTCTTGCTTTGATTTGTTGCTATCATAATGATCATGGTTGATTATTTTGTGTTTTTAGGTATTTGAGATAAAGAATGATGCTTTAATGAAGCGAACAATGCGAAGACCACTGCCTTCAGGCCGCATTTCGGTACCGCACGCTGTTGCCTGGGCAGCATCTGTTGGTGTAGCTGGCACTGCTTTATTGTCTTGCAAGGTGACCAAATAAGCTTGGTTCGAACTCTGAAGATGTGATATTCTGTATTTACCTAATGTGCAATGCACTGCAAGCTGAGAGACTAATTTTGCAACTTTGATGACAAGGTTTTTGCAGGCTAATATGTTGACAGCCGGGCTTGCAGCCTCTAATCTTATTCTTTATGCATTTGTATACACACCATTGAAGCAAATTCACCCAATAAATACATGGGTTGGTGCCGTTGTTGGTGCTATTCCTCCCCTTCTCGGGTAATTTATTCTTTATTTTTAAGTTGCATTTTTAACTGTATGTGAATTTATTTCCATAGCTCATGAGAAAAATGTTTTTCCTTTCACTACATTGTAAGTGCTACTGATGAAGTTGATCCAATAAATGTTTATTGCTTTTGGAGTTCAATAAAAAATTGGATAATTGATCACCACTTCATACAAATTTGATATCCACATTTTAAGGGATAGAATAAATAAACTCTGGCAATCATGTCAAGCTGATTGTGTAACAGCTTTGGCCCACATTAAATGGGAACTTGTGGTCCTTTTTGTGAAATCTGATTTTCGTTTGTGCACTTGTGATAAGAGGTCTTTCATGGAGGCTTATATTCTCTCTTACTGAATTCACAGGTGGACTGCTGCTGCCGGCCAGGTTACCCTAAATGGAATGCTTCTCCCTGCAGCTCTCTATTTCTGGCAAATACCACACTTCATGGCTCTTGCGTACTTGTGCCGTACTGATTATGCTGCTGGAGGGTATGCACATCTATTGTTGATTGCAGCATTTATAATTGAGATAATCAGTCGGTCCTCACTTTATCATGAAGTGGTACACAGATGTTGCTTTGGTGTTGGCTAAGTCATACTGTGGGACATTGTTTCAGCATGAAATCTTTTTTTCTTCTTTTTAATATGATCATGCGTCTGAAACGTGTTTATTGCACAAACTATTTATTTATGACGTGCTATAGGCTGGAGGCTTTGCTGAGATATGGAGCCTGACATGATCCTAAGTACAGTTTTCTGTGGAAGTTACAGCATAAATCCATTGGGAAAAACTAGTTTTGAAAATTCTAATTTTTATCATTCATTCCCTTTTCAGGTATAGGATGCTATCACTTGCTGATGCTTCTGGTCACAGAACTGCTTCAGTGGCACTGAGAAATTGCTTGTATCTGATTCCATTGGGATATTTGGCCTATGATTGTGAGTTACAGTATAGCAAACACAGGATTTGTTAATGTTATTTTTGTTTTTTCATATTTTCTAAATGTGGCCTTCAACCATAATGTGATTCTGTAAACTTGGTGCCATACTAAGATATCCTTTTGCATTGCTAAGCTTCTTTCTCGACTAAACTAATATCCTTTTTACCTGTGCAAGTGGTTGTTATGTTAATGATAGTTGTGTTTGAAAATAACTTTACCATGGGGATTTATCTCAAGATTTAAATTAATGTGTTTTGTCAGGGGGAGTGACTTCTGGATGGTTTTGTCTTGAATCGTCGCTCATCACTCTAGCAATAAGTGCTGCAGCATTGTCATTCTACCAAGACCGGACTACTCAAAAGGCCAGAAGGATGTTCCATGCCAGCCTCCTGTATCTTCCCGTATTTATGTCGGGACTCCTCTTTCACCGTCTCACTGATAACCAACAAAGCCTTACAGAACAAAATTCAGAGAAAATGATTGAGCTTTCATCTTCCACAGAAACTATAGTCAAAGAGAGCAGAAATTCTGGCAGGAAGAACAAGCCAAACAATACCTCTGTTGACAGAAAAGCACAGCCACCTGTAGCATATGCGTCTGTTGCACCATTTCCTTTCCTGCCTGCTCCTTCCTATGCCCCCTGATATGTATTGAGTCCTCAAATTTCTTTTGGTTAACATAATAAATGTGTGAAGGGAACCGTGTAAGATTTCTGGGTTTTCCAGAACACTTTGGGGGATTTTTTCCTGTTTTCCTCATTTCTTTGGGTGGAATAAGTTTTATTTTGTTTTCCGGGTTGATTATTTTTTATACACAGCTGAGGGAGGATAAGAGAATGATCTCTAATCGTGTTGATCATTTTATAATTTGAGTTTCAAATGTAAATGCATATATTATTGGGTTCTGGGTATGATTATTAGTTCGAGCAAAAGTTTGGTATGAATTTGAATCATTTATTATTTAAACAATTTTGATCTTTCCATCCTAAACCTAAAGCTAACTGGAGGATGTAGGCCAGACTTCTGGAGAATTTCCAATAAACAGGTTTTACTTTGATGTGATGATTCTAGATTGATATCATGAATCATGATTAGAGACGGCGCCTAACACTTAAAAAGTTAGTTAAAGTCCAAGTGTGGCTCAAAGAAAGGGCCTTTTCAGTTCTTTCAACGCATCAAGTCATCTTCATGGGTGATGGGTCCTACTAAGCAAGACATAAAAGATTCAATTTACAAAAACTTGAACCAAAATAACCTCAACAATGGGGTTCAATCTACTAGATTAATCTCTTAATTGATGTTGTTACTTGTTATTGCTTTCTGGCTTCAGATTTACTCAATTAATCTCTTTATTGAAATTGTTAACTGTTATTGCTTTTCAGTGTATTTCAGTGAGGGGTGGATGGGTCTAGGTACTCAACCCAAACCCTTGGAACCAAAATAAGAACGGCCAATTCCTAGGATTTAGGAACCAGAATCAGAATCGACTAGTTCTGCTTCCTAAATGCCTGGAACCTAAACTTGAACCTCCGATTCTGGGCCCAATACTTGACACTATTCACGTAAAATTACAAATGCACCTTTATTGTTCACAAAAATGACAAAATACCCTATAATTTATATACCCCGTGTATCTGTTGGTTCCACCTCAGGTACCCGAACCTCGATTCCAGTTCCAGTTCGATTCCAGAAGTAGTGGAACCGAAACTATATAGTGTCAATTCTACTAAATTTGGAACTAAAACCGACACCCTGCGATACCCATCGCTTCCGGTTTTACCCTAAAAAATTGCACACCCCAAATTTCAGCAATGTATTGTACAAACTTTTTTGTTGTAAAAATGAGTATAAAAACAATAAACTTGTCTCCAACTGTGAAAACAAACCTTGTTCTTGTAGCAGCCTCAAAATCCCTGTACATATATAAAGCTACTGAAAAATCTTTCTATTATTCTCCCAAAGCCAATTCTACTAAAGTCCATTTTTCAAGGCAAATGAGAATTATTTGAAAACGAGGTAGGCCGTAGACCCTTAAGATGGGCCAGCTGTCAAGTCTCGATTTGAGATAAGTATAAAGGCCGAGGGCCCATATAGGATCCATCTGAGGTGGCAAAATCTAATATTGGTCTCCACCACCTGGCATGTAAAGTACGATGAGGACCGTAACATTCACAGCTTCGTTCATTCACTGCAACAACTAACAACGAAGACGTGCCCGCAACGCCTTACGTTCATCCCTTCCCCACCACCGGAAAAGCTTTCCAGAACAGAAAGTTTTTTTTATAACTAACTTTTTCATATATTTTGTACTTCTCTCAACCTACGTCCTTCAATCTTTTCTTTCAATTCAACATTCCATGGCTATCATGCGCAGCGATAGTCATTTAAACATCTTGGCGCCACCTCCCTCTCCGCGTGGGGTGGAGCCTCCGTCTCCTATTCCGACTGCCGCAGGATCACGTTCAGCAGCCAATCCGGTTCTATCGCAATTTCTAGATAAGTCGCTACACGTGCCTAACCTCGCCTTGCCACTGCCGCATTTCCTGGTGACGACACGGCACCATCAAATTCCCGATGAAATCAATCTGCGATCGCTCGTAGCGGGAGACGCCGATTCCGTGGATCGGCTCTTGAAATCGGCTCATGAATTTGGCGCGTTTAGGATCAATTTTCACGGGATTTCGGTTGAGGAGTTACGGTCATTGGTGAGACAAGCGGAGCGAGTTTTTGGCATTTTGGAGGGAAGAGATACGGGAAGTCGGCGAGGTAGTCGAGGGCGAAATGGTAATAAAGAGGAGATTGTTTGGGTCCGTTCGGGAAAGGAAAGAATGGACTGGGCACGGGAATATATTGGCGCTGAATTATTTCAGAGTTTTAGGTACATTCCCTTAACACTGGAATGGTTTAAGCTTTGAATTAACTGAGTTCCCGTTACACGTACCTTGGCCGTCCTCCAAAACTTCTAAATGCACCCACTTGTGATTTTTAAAATTGCTCATTGACGTGACACTTTCATTAGAATTGAATTAAGATATTGTGCAGATGCTTGCTCTTGTTCTTGCTCATAAAGCTTACTTAATATATAGTGATTAAAGTATTGTAGTCTTTAAATGAAGGGGTTCACAGTTTCGTATATTGATGAACTCATCAATGTCTGTCTTCACTGGTGAAGTATGGGATAAAGATGAAGAAATTTTTTTTTTTTTTTTTTTCAATTCCTATTTCGATATCATAGAATGATTGAATAAGTCCTGTCTGTCTAGCTCTGATTCCACCATGAAACATTCTTGGCCATGAGGATTGGAACTTGGATTCTAGTCTATGGAAAAGCAGTAGAGTGTATGTCTATAGTAGATGAAAAGAAGTGTCCAATTTAGTTCTTCCTAATGCGGGCATTAGTTTTCCCTTTGTATTATACGAAAATTCTCCGGATTTAAAATTTATTCACGAGTTAACTATTATGAACAAAATTGGTGGGAGTTTGCGAAATTTTTTACATTCTCTGCTAATTGTATTTGCTCAAACACAAAATTTCATGCATGCACAAGGTTAAGAGTGAATTTTAAAAAATGGAGACCTTCAGGGAGAAGAAGGGGGGTTTTTTTTTTTGATAATCTTTGCCTGTAGTTCTTTGGGAGAATAACATAATCACATTGTTAGCTGAAACAATTCTTGGATTTTGAACAATTTATATTCTGATTTTTTGACAGTGAGAAGATGGAGAATGTTTCCAGTAGACTTGATGCCATTGCGGAACAATTGGGTCAAGTTTTTGCAGAATACTTGGGTAAGCAATCTGCGCGAAGAACCCAGGAGAGACAATCTACTCTTAGCATGTACAAGTACAACCAAGATATTATCGATGAACAAAGTTCACCATCATCAAATGTGATGAACAAGTTGTGTGATCATGTTTTAAGCCTCCACCTGCCCACTAAAAAATGTAAATACTGGATGCAATCAGGGCCAACTCCTTTTTCTTTCAATGCAGGCCCAGATATAATTGTTGTCTCTGTGGGAAAACAGCTTGAGGTAACTAATTGGTCTTGTTTCCCTTCCTAGACAGCGTGGCTTTTGTGTGTTTCTCTTTTGCCTGATTAATTGTTGCTGCTATGGTGGAGTTTGTTTTATGCATATATTGATGAATGCCCATAAGTTTTGGTTAATGTGTTATGATTTACAAAAAGTTTCCACTTGTGATGACAGGAATGGAGCATAGGGGAATTCAAATGTGTTGTTGGGGAATATATCTTTCAGCCTACAGATCCTCAAACTTGTTTCTCCATAGAGCTCAAATGTTCATCTCTAAATATAAAACAACATTTTAGCAGAACTCTCAGGACAATCTCAATAGCTGATCAGATCCTGATTGCTCTCATCCTTGCTTTACTATACAGCATTTTCAAGTTTCTATGGTCATAATTTATCGGTACACAATTACATGCATTCAGAATTTCATATCAGTAACACATAATAATCCATGGTTTGAAGAGAATTGAAATTTGAAAAGAGTTGGTTGTACATAGAGATTTGTATGTAAATATAGGTAGAAAAAACATACAATGCTCTTTGATGGGAATAAAATGTTTGCTCTCCTGTAATGCTGTTTGGTATGAACAATACTATACATCTATTATATTGCTGTATTTCCTTATAATTTACTATTATTCTCTTGTCTTTGAATGCCGCTACTGAAATATGGCAAAATTTTGTTTAGTGATGGGGAAGGCTATAAATGAATTGGGCTTCTAACCTTTCAAAATATACCTCATATCTGTTTTAAGTACACCCAATATAGTTTGCTTGATTGTGGCCTGTGGGTTTACTTTAATGAAGATAAGAGTTAGACCCATATTGAAAGTGAAACTGTTCTTTTGGGTTGACAATTGGAATTTGATTACACAAAGAATCTATTTATTTATGAATAAATAATTCTACCCATGAATGAAGCTATTATACATTTTATTTCATACCAATATGATGTATCATGATTTGATGGAAGAGCATAAATTAAAAATTAAACAAATTACCAGAAATGATGTAACAATGTCACAAATTGTTTGTCTAGAGAATTCATATGTATAATTGAATCTAAAGATTACCCACTTTAATATAATAATAATAATTTAAATGAAAAAGTTTCGGTTTATATGGTTGAAATAAATGCCCCGTTAGGTGGGTAGAAGCCTCTTTTCTTTTTTTTGTGATCAGGGATGTCCGAGCTAATTTACACACACTTCAATTAATCCTTCAGGCCATAAAATTAACGATCGAGTAAATCCTCCAATGGCCACTCTTATTAGCAACTAAAGAGAATCAAACTCAAAAGTTTTTAAATAATTTATCCAAAAGTCTTTATCGACTCATCCGACCATCCAAAAATGGTTGGGCATAAGCCCAATGTCTACTCCATAACAGCAAAAAATATCAATTATCTAGTTCATGATATAGTATAAAGATACTGGTTCATCCTCAGTTTCTTTGTTGATTAGTAAAATTAACAGTAAGAATTAAGGCAGCATTAATTCTTGATTACCTCCGTATTAAGTAATGGTTTTTTGATTCCATAAAAGTGAACCTTCCTTAGTCACCTTACTTGTCAATTTGATTTTCGCTTTAAGCGTTACAATCAAATAGATTTATAGTTGAGATGTCAAGCAAAGGAGGCCCCGCACGAATCTAATGACAAAACAACTCAAGATTTCTTAGATTTTAGCTCAAATCTGTAACACATGTGGAGTAGCTTGTACTAAGAAGATGAAAAAAGAGAAAACCCCACAAAAACAAAATTAAACCCAAAGCAAGAAGATTTTGATAATCACATTTCAGTTCAATATTGTTGATGCTGGATTTTAACATTAACTATTCGCACATGAGAAATGCTAAAGAGGATTAGAAGTCACACGTAACGAATCATACGTCCACTGATATTGTATTAATAAAAGTAAAGTTAGGTCGCGTTCAACTAGTTGAGTTACAGCTTAGAGAATATGAGAAAGAGAGAGAGAGAATAAGCTATTTTGGAGTAAAATTCGCTAATCTTACAAATGAAAGAGAATTCCTTTATTTATAGTGGGGTAAACCAAGGTAATGATTACTAAAGCTGCAAGTGGGTAGGTACCGTGCAAATTTTTCTCTGTGTCTCATTGCTCACTTGTCCGAGTGATTTTCTCGACTTATATAGGGATTAGACACCTGGCCGATCCCTAACCGCTGACTGGCATGGTACTCACCTGTTGTACTGACAGGAGTCATACTACTTACGCTAGGCACGATGTAGCCGCACCTGGACGACACAGAACCTCTCTGAACTCTGACCATCTTTTACTGACGAGACTTCACGTCAGTCCTACCTTTTCAAGCATAACAAATCTTATCTAGGGTTACCGACGATCTAAATGTTGTAATAGATTCTAAGTGTTACGTACTTAATTGCTTAATTAAGTAGCAGTAGGAGTAGGGTGGTCTTTTCATTCCATTTCCACCATTTTTAAACCTCATTTTATGTAAAATATTTTACTTTCACTTTTTCAGTGCTCCTCATCCATTACCTTTCTTTTCATCAGTGATATGTGTTTTCTGCATTTATTCTTGCTTGTCATCTTCCAAACTCTTTTAATAAATGTAGTCAACATTATTGATCCTTACATAGAGAAACTCACATAATGTCTCTCCTCCAATCAAGATAAAGATTAAATAATATTACCAACTAGAAGTCGTTGATCAGAATGATTAATGAATAACCCAGAAAATTATTCACCTAACAAACAAGACAGTTAACCATAACGTGAAGTAATAAAGGTGCTGTAGTATGATCACACCGACGAATTTCAAGAATCAAAGCTCTAGATCTCTCTTTCTGTATACATTTGAGAGGAGAGGAGAGGATGGTTTGGCTTGGTTAGGTTGGGTCAAGTTATGGACAAGAAATACATAAATTGGTCGTCTGACTTGTCTTTTGCATTGGCGTTTGGTGAAATGAAAGAAAACAGAAGAAGAATAGAGACAGAGACAGGAGCACATGAGAGTCAGCGAATGTAAATGAAAATGCAATTTAATTAATTAAATGGGTTATATATTGCACCCGTGTACACAATCCCAATTCGCTTTAGATTTCCCAAGATTTTTGTCTCCCCCCTCGTGCACGCACTTAACTTTTTCTTCTTCTGTCTTTTGCCATGACTTCCGCCAAATCTTATTGAATTTAATGATTTCATTCTACAAGTTTCGTTTATCAAAAACCTATATCTGGTATTGGAGGCATAGTTCAAGACTGAGTAAATGTTAAAACATCAGAAACAGATATAAACACGTTCAATCTGATAAATGCAACAATTTTTAGGGTTTGAATGGGGGATTACAATAAGGGGAAATAGAGTTAGACCTATGCTGATTGAATATTTTCAATTAAAGAAATGTAGAAAAGTAGGAAGTGAGACAAATCAATTAATTTGATGTGAAATCGAGACACACGTGATACATTGCTTCTAACCCTTTTTTTTTTTTTTTTTTTTTTTTTTTGTTTGTTGTTTTTGAGGAGTGTTCAAACAAACGTACGTATTCGTATCTCAACTACTTTTTGAAAACTCTAAAGTTAAATGATCAGTAAACTTTCGGTTATCATTTCTATTAGGAGTCAAGGTGAATCAAACTCAAAGCTCTTAAATAATATACTAAGAATCTTAGTTGACCACTGACTGACATCCAGTGATAGTTTACATTTCTCTTACCTTTCTATCACTCACGCCTTGGGGCCCTTGCCTCAAACCCTCTTTCAACTGTTGCATTGCTCGCTCTGATGACTAAAGATGAAAACGAGTCGAGCTACTCAAACTCGACTTGATGTTAGTTGAGTCGATTTCGAGTTCGAGTAGTTAATCGAGTTGAGTTCGATGATGACAGTAGACTCGATTCAATATATTTATGAGTATTTTCAAACTCGATTATTATTGATAGTTTTTTAAAAAATAAGAGTAATATGTAATTTCAAAATTATAAAATTTGTAAAACCACCCACGATGAGCTCGATATCGAGTTGAAACTTAAATAAAACTCAGTTATGCAAACTCGAACTCGAACTCGATTTCGATTATACCGTAAATTATATAGAGAAATAAGAACAGCAAAAACGTCAGAGTCTCGAAACAAAACCCAGAATCTCCGGATATCTGTTGCTCGTCTTGTCTTAATTTGATTTATTTTCTTAATATGGCATCTTCAAATGTCCCTATAAAATCTTTCTTTGACTCGCCGACACAAACCCAAACCCAAACCCACATCCAACCGTCTCTTTATATCCATTGATTTTTATAATAACACCACTAAGATCTCGCCACATGAGCGGTGGGTACAGTCTGACGTGTTACGCTTACGGCTGTTGCGTTAATTTTCTGTGGAATTCATTGAATCGAAGAGATTTTATAATTTATATATTAATTTTTAATTTAATGGAATTTTTATTCTTATAATTGAACAGTTTGGTCTTATTAGGCGACTGTTTGGACCCAGAACAACGTAATTTTAGGTACAGGATTTTAATGTCTCAAGTTCTTCCCTACCTAATCATAGGCTACAATATTTAAATTAAATGCTTTTTCCCTCCTGCAATTTTATAGGCTCCAGTCACATCACACAACATATATTTAACTGTTAATGGCACTCGTAAAATTAAGCTTTCTTTAGTTGACCCATAACCATCGCCAGGAGGTAGAGGGAGAGGGACAAGACAAGACAAGAAATCTCTTCCATTATTTTTCCGTTCACGGTTGTTGAGTAGAATCTGAATATTTTACCCATGGGAAAGTTCAGTTCACCAAATGTTGAAATTTCAAATTTAAATACACAGATGCTGTTTTTCTTTTGTCCAACATCAAACCGAACGTTGTATTATTAATAGATACCGCACCGGCTCCCTACTTAAATCGAAGATACTCATATTTGGAATCAATTCTGAGACTATACATCTATATCCAAAAAAAAAAAAAAAAATTCATACTTTCTTATAACTATAAGTGCGTTTAATATTAGTATAATACTAACATTACAAAGAGACATATAAAGAGATAAATCCAGTCCTTAAAATTTATGATTGTCTCTCTCTCTCTGTTTCTCTTTTTCTTTTTTTTTTAAGGGTTGAATTTGTCTCTTTGTATGCTTCTTTATATGTCTCTTTGTAAGACTAGTATTACTCTTAATATTAATTCGTCTTACATGGATAATGTAATGAAACCCTAATTGCTCAAAGTTTTCCTTTTTTTTTTTTTTTAATGACTGTGGTGTCTGGACAGCTTGTGCTCACCTCGACTAATCACTAGAGCCCATTAAATACCCTAAAAACTTAGGCTTCATTAGGTTCATATATTGGAAAAACTATTCTAGTTTTACCAATAAAGTTAACACAAAATTTGTGTTTGGTTCACCTATTTTCAAAATATAATTCTAAATTATTCAATTTCTTTTAAATCCCTAAATTTGTTAATTTAACTAAAAAAACCCCAATTTTTTTTTTAAAAAATTGACAAAAACACCCCAGTAACCTAAATTTACCAGATTCCAGCCACCACCACTGGAAGCTAGCCGGAATCTGATGTAATGGCGCACTACCGGTTGAATCCGGTAGTGCGTCGATCTAGCCTTTTCTGTCAGATCCACGATGGATCTGGTCGAAAAAAGCCAGATCTACGGCCAAAGATCTGGCCATCAACAGCCAGATCTTTGGCCGTAGACAGCCGTCAATGACGGCTAAGATATGGTCGTCGTTGACCATCAACGACGGTCGTATCTTTGGCCTTCGTTGATGACCAAATGCGGCCAGATCTGGCCGTCAATTGCCAATTTTCAGCCAAATCTACGGTGGATTTGGCCGAAAAAAGCCATATTGGTGCACGACCGGTAAGATCCTGCCGGTCATGCGTCGATACGGCAACTCTGACCACCCTTCGGCGGTGTTGGCCGGCTATTCGTATTTAATGAGTGGGTTAGGGGTGGTTTTATTAACTTTGAATATTTTATTATAGGGTGTTTAGTAAATAAATAAACATATGGAGTATTTTTGTTAATTTTTAAAATTTTACATCGTAATACCCACCCAATTTAACTTTTTTTTTAAATATTACTCTAAAAACTACTCAATAATGAACCAAACAGAGCCCTAATGTTTTAGGTTAAAATTTTTTTTTTTTTTTTTTTTTTTTTTTTTTTATGATCAGGGTGCATGGGTAGCTTGTGCGCACATCGACTAATGCTTGAGGATCCATTAAATAGCTTACAAACCCAATATTCTAGGATAAGTCATAAATATGATCGATAACTCTAAAATTCAAACTCAGAAAATTAATAAAGAGAGCAAGTTTTCTTGACCGCGAGTCCAACCCCTTAGAGTTTAATTGCTGCAAGTTGGAGGTTCATAATTGGAGTGTTAAAATAAAAAAAAAAAAATGACTAAGATTTGGTCTATGGTTTATATATGACTAGATTAATTATCAAAGTAATGGGTGTCTACATGGAAGAGTAAAGTTACAAAAGTCTAATAAAAAATACTCAGAAACCGCAAAGTTAGGGATGATTCAGAACAAATCCCGGGAAGACAAAATGATTTTTTTTGTCAATATATTATATTATATGGTTTAGTATGTCAAGCTTGAAGCTGCTGTTCTCGTTAAAAGACAAAACTTTATATCGGTGCTTTGTTAAAACTGTTACCGTCACAAGAAAGACACAATATTTAATATATATTGACAAAACCTTGTTTGTTTTCTAAGAAAATATAATGAATATTTTCTTGCTTTAATGAAAAATTCTGAACCGTGCATCACCTACTCCACTGTTCATTTATACTCGTGCTAAGATTAATTTGAAATTGTATCATGCTTTTGAAATTATCGAAGTAACTTTAACTTTTTGAGAGATCAAATTCAACTTTAGCCAAAGCTATGAAATCTTGAAAGAGCTTTTGTGGCTTGTGGGTTCACACTGTAAAAGAAAATTTTGAATTTACCTTTTGATATATTATAAACGAAGGGGGGAAGTGCTTTTTTACATTGAAGATTTTGAATTTTCAGCTTTATTTTGATGATGGACAAACTGCCTAGAGAGTGAAGAGGGCTTTCGATATGTGAAGAAAGATTAAAAAACTGAATCTTTGTCCTTGAAAGAGTGTTTTCTTTAGGAGGAAAAATCTGAAGTTGATGGAAGAAACTGTCAGACTTTGTACGTGGGGGTCCCCTTCATATATCTATTTGTATAGTTATGCGTATTATTCTGAAGTTGGTCTCAAAGCATGCAAGTACTGATCTTCAGAAAACTGATTTCTGTCTTTTCGGTCTCTTTTGAAAGAAGAAAAACATGGCGATGGAGAAAAGCAAATTAAACATGGACAAAACTCCACTTCAAAATGGCACGAAAACTATAAGAAATTCAATTTTGGTAGATTAATAGACCAAAAATTTGATGGCAATTTGATACAGAACATAGCCTATCCAACCAGAGAGAGAAGAAACTGAGACCTTGAAACTGCTCAACGACGTAGCTTCATCTAATTGGTTACACTGGTACAAAGTGGAGATTACGTACTGTGGGGTCAAATTGTTTTGTCTAAATGTTTCATTTGAAAGCAAAATGGCAATGGATCTTCACCTTTTCCAAAGTGAAGAAATGAAAAAAGAATTTCTGTTTGTTGTTTTTTGTTTTGGATTTTTCAGCAATAAAGAGAAGATGATCGATCTGAAACGTTGAAAACTACTAAAAATTTCTGCTAATTGAAGAAGCTACTGATGAAATTATGCTCAACTACATTCTTACTCTTAATGGAAATTAAAGAGAAAACAAAAAAGGTATATACATATCTGGAATTATGGATGCATTTATTACTGCTTAATCCGAACGTTAGTCAATTCAAACCAGATTTGCTTGAATACCTTGATAATGAGCTCATGATATTCATCAGAATTTAATGAAAGATAACAAGCCAACAAGTCCTCTAAATCCTTTGAAGCCCTGATGTTATTCTCCACAATCATCTCCACCATCGATTCTCTGAAGTCTCTTTGAGGATCAAATGATGACTTCACAACAGCACAACTATCAGACAAACTCCTCCGTGAATTACTCGAACTCGATGAAGTGCTCCTTCGCCCGTGAGCCTGAATCTTCCTACTTGCGATTCTCGGAGAATTAGTTCTCAAACGTACTCCAGGAGAATTAGCATAACATTTTCTAACTGGACTCGTCTTGTGTTCTTTAGTATTGATTCTCTCTTCTTTCACAACCTTAACAGACAGTGAACCGTGAGCATTTGATTGTTCATATTTAGCTGTACTTCTTCTATACTTGGTTGGCTCACTGGTGTCGTTGACCTTGGAGGGCTTGGTTATGATGGGACGGAGTTCAAGTTCAGATAAACTATCGAACCCATCGACATTTTTAGGCTCAAGAGATTTCTTATCCACATCAATAACGATATCTTTCGCATTATTATCAGAATCTACTTTGCAGCTACGAGCGTTTGACCAGGCCAACATGCTATCAAAAGAGTGATCGGAAGCAAGAACTTTATCACACCTGTAATCAGGTACACAATCCTGAAGAAGTTGTGGCTCCGGGGAGCTGCTATCAAGTGGTGAAGAAGAACAATCTTGCGGAGAATCAGACTTGTTCCAGATTGTGGCATGGCAGCTACAGCCAGCAGAAACGGATGAACTGACAATCTTGGGAACAGAACTGGAGGTTCTTCTCTTCAGTCTTCTCTGTTTGGTTGATTTTCTTGGTGGGTCAGGGAAATCGATGTCTGAGGATTTTGTTTTTGTGGGAGAATTGTAGAATTTATCACTAGGGATAATCTCCCTAGTGAAATAATAGGACTTTCTTGGATACTGATAATGGTGGTGGGGTTGTTTTGGTTTTGATAGTTGTGTTTGTGTTGTTGTTGTTGTTGTTGTTGTTGTAGATGAAGTTGGCTGTTTTTTCTTCAAGGATTGAGAATTTGTGTTGGTAGAGTACTGGTTTTTAGCTCTGCCCATATCCTTGAGCTTGTAAAACCAGGCATTGGGCATCATATCTGATAATCTGAACTTGTAATTGCCCATCACAAAACACCCTTCAGAGGAAAGAGAATACAGAATTCACTTTTTGATTTCTCTCAAATGTGTTAAAGACTAGAAATGATGATATGTAGAATATAAAGAACCCTTTATCACTCACCCTTTCTTACAATTGGACTCTAGTATGGAAGACATAAACAGAGAGAAAGAGAGAGAGAGAATTGGGGTAGGGGTCCACAATGGAAGAAAAAGTTTGCATAAAGGAAAAGAAAAATGGGCCAGGTGGGTAAATGACTTTCCTGGTTATGACACTTAAATCACCTAACGAAACAGAAGTTTGCTCTCAAATCATCATTACCTTTTGTTTATTTCTAAAACAAAAATTAGATTCCCATTAAACCTTTCTTTATCTGGACTCTGGAGGATACAGTCTCTACAATTTTCATACTACCGTTAATCACTGCCGTCCGTGATTTCGTGACGTGGCTCACATGCTTAGCTTGGCCCCTGAGAAAAAGCCCCCACATCCCAAAGGAGCCCCCACATCCCAAAGGGTCCCCCATTCAAACTGCATTAGCCTGGACTGGTGTATCTTACAATTTTTCTGCTTCAGAAACAATGGCATTTCGTTGCTGTAAAGTGATTAAAATGAGGGAATTCTATATTTTGGTGCTTTGAATCTTTGCTTTGGGCCTGTTTTTGGATGAATTGCAAACACTTTGGTTATTTCATTCATGCTTTTAAGAAATAGTCGGTTGTTAAGAAGAAAAGGAAAAAGAACATAAGGACAGAAAACTAAAGGAGATATCTTTCTTAGCTTTTGGGATATTTGCAATTTGCAAAGCTCGTCGGGACTCAGCATTATATGAATCCAACATAAAAAATTTGGAATGGCCTAGAAGTTCTACTCCTGGCCATACTTTTTGCTAATGGAGATAAGTCAACAGGGTTTCATGTCGTTTCAAAACACAGTATTAGCCTTGAAAATAAGCAGGATATCAAACAGAAGGCATGCAAACTTTTGAAAAAAAAGATGATGGGCAGGCACAAAATGATGAACAGATCCCTAAAAAAAAATTAATTAGAGTCAGTATTTCAGTAACTTTGATGCATGTGTGATACCAGATAGTTGGCCTTTCGTTATCTGAATTCTGAACATCATCAATTAGGTAATGCAAAGTGAAAAAGAATCCTGCAAAAGCCAAGAACATAATTTCGATATTGATGTTTATCTTGGACCCTGGTGGCCAGAAATTTCTTGAATCCATCAATTGCATATTTATGTGGTATATTTAAACATTACGACAGACATTCATCTTCTGGGCATGGATGTATTATCATGTATATAGTTAATGAGAATGTACACACAAATAGTTTAACATCGCATAGATTGGATGCCATCAATTGACCATAAAAGGCCAAATCCTTCTTGGGTTTGCTAAAACAAAAACACCCTTTATTTATTTTCCCTTCTTCAACAAACTCCCATCCCATACTGTCTTTACAACAAGACAAAATTGAGCTGTTCATGTTCTTCTTAATTGCTTGCTGTTGTGTTAGACACATGAGCCTGGAGGCGTGGTTCGTTCATAACCTAAAACTCAGATGGTCCAGTCTGGTAGTCAGTCTCATGGTTGATGGTCCCCTACTTGAATCATCCAATGATCAGAACTGGGACTGCCATACTTTACGTGTTCAAACTGCAATCAACAAATTAAAAGGGGGGACCAAATTGACCCCTTTCTCATGTTACATGATGTAGTCATTTATTAGACACTTTGTTTTTATGTTGAAGCTGGACAAAGAATTAAAAAACGGCAGGCCATGCTGAGGGACGGCTAGCCGAAGCCAATGCATTCTCCCCCAGGCGTAGAACATTTGTGAAGAAAATAGGCGTAATGAATAGTGAAGAAAAATTGAGCCCATCAAGGTTTTATAATGTAGCCCAACATGAAACAAGCCCCAAATATATAATACATATAATTTTCTAATTAATTGTTCTACATCGGAATCTCTCTTTGATTGATTGTTACAACAGGTTGAAATACAATAATGAAATGGGATTGAGGAAGTTTTATCAAACTTCATCATAAATCTAAGCATTGAATGACATAAAAATTTTGTCAAACAATTCTATATACACGCTCAATTGCAGAGAATGAAAACAGATCAGCCAACGACGTCGTTGGTTCGTTTGCTGGGACCAGAAGGTGGCACAGGTCCTTTTGGGAGGAGATTGAGCAACAAGGGCCTGTAATTGTAAATCACTTTCTCTGGAATTGGAGAGAGAGACTCAGAATTCTTTGTAGGCTCCTCTAACTTGCCCGGAAAATTAACATCTGGGGACTTAAATCCTGATAGAACTTCAACTTTTGGTCCCATGGCGAGAACATCTTTTTGAAGAAAACCATGTAAGACTCTGGCTTGGGAAGCTTGGGACATGACAATGACACATATGACCATTAAAATGGTGAAGTCACGTCTATTTAGTTCCGCCATTGGAGTGTAGAAACAAGCCCTTACTTTGGAATAAAAAAGAATGATGTGGGGGCTGAGTGATGAAGAATGAAAGTGAGATGATTTGTAGACTTTGACAAAGCTACCTTTATTTATAAAGATGGGGAAAGTCAGCCTTTTGAAGTTTCTGGGTTGGAGCCATATTGCCATGTTTTACTTTGAAAGAATCCGTGTTTTTGACATTTTAAAATGGTTTCTATACAAACTGTATTTAGTTGACGACTATCTAACACGTTTACGTGTCGGTCAGTCGGTGCATGGAGTTCGTCATGTGAACGTGATCCACTCAAAAGACAAAATCTGAAAGAAGAAGAATTGCAGAAATAGAATGCTCTAAACTCCAGAAACGTTTCGAAATAACTGAACAAAACAGAGCTCTAAACACAAGATGTAATAAAATATAAACAGAGTTCAATCCGAACGAAGAATCTGTATGAGCAAATAAAAGAATGGTATTGTAAGCTTTGACAAACGAACCAACTAAATTGATCTTACAAATCAAAGAACAAATTTATCAACTTATTCCAACCATTTTTACAATTATAGAAATGAAGTGTAATTAAGAAGCCACTACGCTGTTAACTAGGCAGTAGTATTGTTGAAGAAGTAACTGTTGTGGTACTGGCTACAGTATATGCATCCAACCCAGCAGCCCATCTCCTGAGTACTCTCAAGAGCGCACCCGCCTTTCTTCGAGCTCTCGAAGTTCCAGTTTCCATCAATTCCCAAATAATTCTCTCAATTCCAGGCATTCCTGCAAGCTCCGCCACCATTTCTGATCCTCCCTTTCTACAGATTGTCACAAGTGTAGCTGCTGCACTCTCTCTTGTTGTATCAGATCCTTCCCTTAACAAAACCCCCAATTTTTTAATCAAATTATAAGCTTCAGCAATCGCCGCCAACCCACCTCTCTTCACCACCGCTTCCAGTATCGTTACCGACTCTTCCGGCAACACGTTAACCACTTCACTTATCATCTCCACAATTCCGCCTTCAAGTAACCTCACAACCGTTTCTCTGTCTCCCGCCAAATTCAATATTGCCACCAAGGCATCCCTCTTTGAACTCGTGGGTCCGTTCTTAGCCAAGTCCATTAATCCCATTATGACACGTGTCTTCCTCCCAAGTCTCTTCCTGTGCGCGTGTACACCTGATAAACTGAATATCGTAGCAGCCGCATTTCCTTTCGCTTCCCATGTGGCGCCTGATCTCATAACCTCGATTACTCCGTTTAATGTGCCGTCAGTTTCCATGATTCTCGTTTTGTTTGCTTCAAGAATGGATAAGTTAAGGATCGTTGTAACGGCATTGACTTGCAGGTTCGGTAGATTCGTGCCTACATCCGAACCTAAGTACCTTACAAGTAAAGGAATGGCCCCAGCTTCAGCAACGCAGGCGCGGCTGTCAGAGTCTGTTTTGGCAAGCACACGGAGCTCGTAAACGACATCGTTTGCTGCCTGCATTGACTGAGAAGTTGACAATTTATTAATCAAGAAGGATGCCGTCATCTTGGTAGCTTCTAAAGCCGCCTTGTTAGTTACAACTCCGTTAACTTTCTCGTTACTTGTAGCGTATTCAAAAGGAATTCTCTGCTCGCGACACCACATAGCTATCAAATTCTTTAAAGCAACGTTCGGTATCAAATTCGTGTGGACCAGGGTCTGACCTGTCTTTGGACACGTGTTGTGTCCTGATTCAATCCAGACATTAATCGACTGGCGATCATACGTCTGTCCGGTGGCCACAGCAACCGGGTCTTTCATCAGATCAAGACTAATCGGACAACGAAAATCCGCCGGCACATTAGCCTCCGCCGCCGATTTTCTTCTCCGACGGCGAATTGCGTCCGATTTTTGCGTTGATTCGCCGAAAAGAACGCATTTCGAGTAGCGAACGAGTCCGATGAATGCAACAACAAGATATTTTGATTTTTGATCGATTTGATTCTGAATTTCGGCTTCAAGACTCTCAATTTCTTCTCTGCAGGTCAACGCGTCACGTAAACCTAAGCTTTGGAAAATTACATTGAGTTTTGAATGATCGGGAACGATCTCTTTCCTGATTTGATCAAGCATCGTTAAGACCTCTAGCCGTAGATTGCCATCTCTTGGATCTACAGAACCATCTCTGCTATGAGAAGAACATTGTTTTCTAATCAAAACGACGACGTCTTCAACATCTTGGCTCAAGTCTAGCTCTTTTAAATGCAAAATATCTAACAAGGTTGACAAATCCATGGTAACCTCGTGAAAACTATTAGCCACCGTTTCGATTTGCACGAGCACCCATATCTTGCTACCATTCAAACAATCTTCAATCAACGTCTTCATTCTTTGCAAAACTATGTACATCTCTTCAAAGCAAAGAACAGTTGAAGGCGAAAATGGAGAAACTTGATTACCCAGAAGCTCTTCGAACAAGACGGCCAACAGCTTTGCCTTGCGTATTATCAAAACAGAGTTCCGTCTTAGAAGGAACTGGAGAGGTTTGAGAGATGAGATTTCTTGAGATAAAAAATAAAGAGATTCAACGAGTTTACGGTCCGGCAATTTTGGAGAAATGAATGCTCCAGCCGACGGCCGTCGTTTTCTTGGCGGGAAAATCCTCGGAGAAACAGCCATGATTAATATGACGAAAGGTAAAAAAACCAGAGAAATTTAACAAGAAACAAAAGTTTGGTTGAAGGAGAAGATGAAGAAGATATATATATATATATATATATTTTTTAAAAGAATCGTTGGTTTTTGACTGTTGTGGGTTGTTTTTGTTTTCCAAAAACAGAAAATATATTGGGGGGGCATTTAGATAGGCAGAAATGGTAGGCGGTTCGCAAAGTAAGAAAAGTTCAAGTTTTGTTTTGATTTTAGGAAAGTGTCAACCGTTGGATGATGAATATAAGGTTTGATTAAGCAATTAGCAACAGCAGCCGGCAGCTGGTGCAAGGAAATTAAGTTTAAGTTAATTAATAATTTATAAAAATAAATTAAAAAAAACGTTAAAAAGATGAACTGGTATGCACTTATCATAAAGATTACAAAGGGCTTGTTGATTTTGTTTTAAGTATTTATATATTAACATAAACCAAACCAGTAGGTGATGGTTGTTGAGACTTGAGTTAGAAGAAGGGACTTGTTCCGGTCGTCATCTCATCATCACCCACATGCCATTTTAATATTCATGCATTATTTGTGCTTTCTTTTTCTGTGCATATCCAGTCCAGCCAGAGTGTTTAAACAAACTTTCTTTTTTCTTTTTTTATATTTATATTTAACCAACTCCAATTATTGGACCTGGAATTCCTCAATATTGCTTGCTGATGCTTTGCTCACCATGCCATGCCAATAGTACTATCAAAATTCGTTAAAATTTTAAGCCCTCAACTGATCATTCGGAGCCTCAAAGTTAAGGGTCGGATAAACACTCATCTCAACTAATCGTCGAAGCCCTGAAGTTAATGATCGGATAAACCCTGTAATGACAATTCCTATTAACAACTAAGGGAAATTGAACTCAATAATTCTTGAATAATACCCGGTCATCTCATTATTGGAGTTAATTACATTTACCCCCACTAGATAAGTTCCACGTTTGTAGTTTAAAGCATTGGAATATTCTTCGGAAGGAAACAAATTAAAATCTAGAACGATATCAAGATGAGAAGTATTCTGATTTTTAAACATGAATATCGTTTCCGTTAATAGACTGAGTAAACCTTTGTTTAATTCAATGGGTGTAAATTTTAATATTTTAAAATACAGAATCTAGAGAATTTATAGATGATGTTTATCCTTATTTTTGTGATAAGTTCGAATCAAGCTTGGTAAGTATACGAAATGTGTGTCGTTGTCTATAGATGGTTTACTTAAACGGATAAAGCTGCAGTTGTTGATATTTCTTCTGTGGGAAGTAATATAAAAATGAATAATTAAGTAAAAATATTTATAAATTACATAACAATACATATAAATGAGTTTGACACAAAATTTGAAAATGTCATCAAATTCAAAAAATTCATCTTTTTCGAATTAAAACGACAATCTACATCAGATATTGTTAAAAGTTGTATTTGTCTTACATTGTCAATTGAGTAAAGTATTATAATGTATGTATGTGGTTAGAATCCTTTGAACCCTTCCTCTTAAGCGTGAGGGAGGGAAATCAAGATTTCAGTATAATATAATTATAATTTCGATAACAATGTATTGTGAATATTACTTGCACCTTTTATTTGATGGTGTAAGGGAGGGTCCTCCACCTCCCTCAAGGTGGAGGGTCAGGCAAACAAAGGACTTACACTTATAGCCATTATAGGGTGCTTTTGGTTTATTATTTTGGATATGATTTTGGGGATAGTATTGGATAATTGAATATGAGAGTATTACGAGGTAAAATTTAAAAATTTATAAAAAACCTCCTCAGTTTGCTAATTTAACAAATACCCCTAATATGTAAAATGACAAAAATACCCCCACTACCTGCAGTGCTAGATTCCGGCCACCATCGCCGGAATCTAGCCGAAAAATTGCGTTACGACACAGACCGGTCGGATCTGTGTCGTAACGCATCATTATGGCCTTTTCCGGCCAGATCCACCACGGATCTGGCCGGAAAAGGCTAGATCTACAGCCTGTCGTGGCCGTCGACGGCTAGATCTGGCTGGAAAAGTCCAGATCGGTGAATTACTGTCCAGTTTCGGTGGGTAATCCACCGTTGTGGCAGATTCCGGCTACCACCGACGGTGGTTGCCGGAATCTGGCAAGTATAGGTCACGGGGGTATTTTTGTTAATTTTTAAACTTTTTTTCAGGGGGTATTTAATGAAATTAATAACCTTTTGGAGTCTAAAAGTAATTAAAAAATAGGATAATATTTCTGAAATAATGTGCCAAACATTATTTGGAGAATAGGATTGGGAATATGGATAATAATAAAAGCCAAACATGTCCATAACAGTCTACTAAATTGGTGATATGGGACAGATACAACTTCTAACGAGGTGTTTTCAATTTGAGAATGATGTTGAAAATTGAACGAGAGAAAACTTAAAAATGGTGAATTGGTGGTGGATGAGAATAATGATGATAAAAGCAATATAGGGTTGAGTTGGGTTATGTTTACCCAGAACCACTTCCATAATTGAGGAAGAAATGGTGGCCCAAAGCAAGAGAAATAATTTGTTCTTTATTTTCTATTTTCTTGAAATTCTTTATTCATTCACCAACCAACCAAAATTATAGGGGAGCTTCAATTAGACTCAATTACTAATTATTTAGGTACCAAACATTTTGATCAACTTAATTAATTAATTATATTTGACACCCACATTTCTTTAAATTAATCAAGTACATCTCTTGGTGTTTTATTTGTTTGGCATTACTTATCAGAATAATAAGTTTTATATATGTTGGTTGCTACTCACTACTCTTTAGGTCATTAGACGAACAAAGCTCCTACACAACATCAATAGTGTCGATATATGCCACATATCAAATCAAAGACAGAGAGGAATCTTTGAAGTAAATTTTGTTTCGATCAAATGAAGGTCAACCTTTAGAACAAGGTAAAAACAATCTTTATATACCTCTCCCTTTGTAGTCAGATGACAAACCTTTTAATCATTGAGGTTAGTTATACCCAAAGGTCTTATATTCGAGTGCAAAAGAGATACTTATTATATTTGTGCAATTACTTTGGTTTATTGGGCTTATAGAGTGTTTCGTGGTCCTGAGAATTAGATGAGCTCAGCTAACAATGATGCCTAGATAGCTCAATTATTAGAAGAAAAAAAAAACAATCTTTATATCTTGATTTAAGAGTAGTTAGCAAGATGTAAGTTTTTAGTATAATTTTTGCTAAATGCATGTTATTTTATTCGTTTTAACTTGGCCATTCGGTTAAGGTTCCAAAGATGAGTTTTGAAGGCAATAATGGATAAGGCATCTTTAAAAATTGGTCTAGGTTAATGTTAAAGGGTGTGTTTGGTTCAATATTTCTACCCATATTCCTAATCTTATTCCCTAAATATTGTTTGGCACATTATTTGACAAATGTTAGTGTAGTTTTTAATTACTTTTAGACCCCTTAAGTTTATTAATTTCATAAATAACCCCCAAAAAAAGTTTAAAAATTAGCAAAAACACCCCCACCCACCCATGCTTGCCAGATTCCGGCAACCACCGTCGGTGGTAGCCGGAATCTGTCACAATGCCTTACACCATGATCGAAAATGGTCTGTTATTCATTGATCTGGCATTTCCTATGGATCTGGCCAGAAAAGGCCAACTAACGGCCAAAGAAATGGCCGTCGTTGACGGTCAACGTCGAAGATGAACCTTTGGAAAATGCCATATCAACTCGTTACGGCACAGATCTGATCTGTCTGTGTCGTAACGCAATTTTTCGGCTAGATTTCAGCGATGGTGGCCAGAATTTGACACTAAAGGTGGTGGGGGTGTTTTTGTCATTTTACACGATTTTTATATGTTGAGATGTTTAATTAAATTAGCAAACCTAAGGGGTTTTTTCAGAAATTTTTAAATTTTACCTCATCATAAAATAATAAACCAAAAACACCTAAAATGTTTCAAATCAATTGGATTTGGAGATGGTTTTGTAACTTTGTATATATGCTGGGCCTTTTGAAATAGATAGGCCCTGAGGCCCCTGACCCAACTCAGTGAAAACTACAACAATAGGGTGAAGTTCAAACCACGAAGGTCAACCCAAGTTTGATTGGGCCTGGAGAAACTGCTAAATTGGGCTTCAACATGGATCAAAAAGAATAATAATGGACCCACTTTGAAACGAACCAGCCCAACTTAAGCTCGGAATGTGAGAATTAAGTGAAATTTCGATCACATGGAAGTATTTATAATTTCCATCACTACCACCTACAATTGGAGAGACAATCCCAACTTTATTTATTGCATTGGGTGATGCTTTGATGGATCTGTAACCCAAAGGCCCCCCCACCTCATACACATTAAATGTAATAATTGAATTCACATTCTTATAAGAGAAATATTACATATACAAAGTATGGGTTCCGATAGAGACTTGACAACTTATATTATAAGATCACGTATGAGATGTGACAAATTATATAACTTTATTATAAACTAAGGTGGTATTGTTATATCAACAACTATATCGGTTGGGATTCTTACTTGTATAGCATTCTAGTAACTCAATAATAATACAAGTACGGTAATCTTACATACGCAAACATTGATTGTATACAAAGCTTACTTTTAAAACTCAATAATACAAGTACAATAATAAAATTGCGTCTCTAATATTTGGGACGACAGCAAAGATTGCTTTTAGAACACTTAACAATACTACAAGGAACAAATCTTTAAAGTAATTTTGAAGAAAAAGGGATAAATACACATACCAGAGAACAAGAATCTTTAATTATGAGGGGGAATTTGTATACTAACGAAACATTGGGGATAATTGAATTATTTCAAACCTCGTGGGGTGAAAATGTAAATAATCTTTCTATTATTATTTATCCAACTTTGAAAAATCGATTATCAAAATGTCATTAAATTTGCGTACTACCTAATTAAATCATTTTTTTATATTTCAAGACAAATTAAATGGCCATTTCGATATTCTAATGGGACATTCTATAATTTATCAAAACAATGATTGGTCAACCTTTTAGTTTTAGATGATCCAATGGCCATC